GTTTTTGTCGAAGAGGCTGCTATCTCTCCATCGTATATTCTTAGCGCCTTTGTCAAAGACAAGTTGGTTATAGTTGTGTGGCTTCATATCTGGGTCCTCTATTCTGTTCCACTGGTCTTCATGTCTGTTTTTGTGCCAGTACCATGCTGTTTTTATTGTTATTGCTTTGTAATATAGTTTGAAGTCAGGTATTGTGATACCTCCTCAAGCTACCACTTTTATATAAACAGTTAAATAAACTTTTGGTTATCTTTTTGTGAGTGTGGGACTGGGGTTTGAACTCAGGGCTTCGCACTGGCAAAGCAGGCACTCTACAGCTTGAGCCACACCTCCAGTCCATTTTGCTCTGGTTGTTTTGGAGATGAGGTCTCGTGACCTATTTGCCCAGGCTCATTTTGAACTGCAATCCTCCTGATCTCAGCCTCCCAAGTAGCTAGGATTTCAGGCTTGAGCCAGGGGTACCAGGCAAACTTTTGGTTATAACTGCCCCCAAAGTTGCTATTTTTCCCTTGCGTTTCTGTGATATGGATTCTGCCACAATTATTTTTTTCTTGAAAAAAGAGCTTGCTTTTGAAACCTGTCCCTGGGGCACTGCAGTGCCACCAGCTAGCTTGGGAGCATATCCGACATGACATTTGATGGAGGCGATGCTGCCATACGGTCCAGGTGTCGCCTCTTCCTTTGAGGGCTCACTGGGGCTTGCAGCTGATTGCAACTGTCAAGTTCAATGCCCGAGACAAGCTTTTGATTTTTCCAGGTGTGTCTGGAAGGCTGGGCTCGGGGAGAGGCTGTCACTGGCTGGAGCCCAGAGGTGGCTTCTGGGAGCTCCGTCTAGACAGGTCTCAGTTGCTACTGCCCTCAAAATAGCCAAGGGAATTTCAAGGAGGACTTTTTCTGGGCCCAGAGGAACTTGGCATTTTTATTAGATCAAAATCAAATCCAGTAGAGTACGGCTCGAGTCGCTTCCTTTATTAAAATGGAAACAGACCATATTTCTGAAATAAATATCAATGTCAATTTTCTGGGAGCAGAGACGAGCCTTTAGCCTGGGGATATCTGAGACCCTGGAGTTGGTGGGGGTGGATCAGAAGATCCGAGCCGATGTTAACATCACCATGACGTGCCGGGAGGGGGGGAGTGGAATGTAGCTCAGGAAGGGGCTGGGACCTGGGATTCTGCATTTCTTACAAGTTCCCAATGCTGCTGGTCCACAGAAAAAAGTTCAGAATAGAACTTGGCCTTAGGCCAGGTACCCGTCCCTCTGCAGGGACTGCCAGCAGCAACTCTGCCTTTTGTCACTTGCTTGGGCTACTCAGCAACTCTGAGATGGAAATCGCTGTTTCTAGGCCAGTTCCCTCCAATCCATCCTCTGAGGACCCGTTCCCAGCTCCAGTAACTGCCTTGGTGGACATCTGGCTAGATCAGTCCTTCCAAGATTGCCAGCCATCCCAGGACCATCCTCTAGCATCCTCCTCCTGCTTCTCTTTTCTTTCTGTTACCTGTCACCCTCTTGTCCCTTCCTTGCTAACTTGCTTCCTCCCTAGTTCTCCCCCACAGAATGACACTGCCACAAAGACAGGGGACCTTACTGCTACATTCTCTGAGCAAACCCAGTGTCTGTCTGGCATATAGTAAGTCATCCATGCATTTTCAGTGAAAGATTTAGCTCACTTTGTCCCCAGGAGTAGCATTCTACAAAGTCACTTGTCCTGGGGTCACAAGCTGCCCACTCCAAGCTAAAGCTGTGCCATTGGTTTTCTTCTTTGTGTCTCTCTCGCTCTAAAAGAAAAAAAAAAAAGCTAGAGTCTTGCTATATAGCCCAGGCTGGCCCTGAACCTGTGATCTCCTGCCCCCACCTCCTGAGTGCGGGGATTATAAGTATACTCTACCACACTTGACTCTTTCGGTCAAGACTCTTTGCCTGAGGCAGTGGTATCCCAGTCATGCCTTTTTCTAGACACTTGTGGCCCCTGCTAAAATGCAGCTATCCCTGGAGAGTCTTTTACCTAGGTTTGAGGCAGGTGGTGAGTCTAAACTCCTGAGGTGCAGGGTGGGTCTGGTGCCTGTTTACTTGGCACCCAGCATCTGTGGCAACTGCAGTCCTCTTCCCCTCCCCATTCACCGGCCCTGTGTGCCCCCCCCACCCTGTTTTCTAGTCACATCCCTTGTCTTCTCCCAGTGACAGAATTGCTGGGTTTTTCACACCTCTTAAAAAGCTCCCAGGCCTGCCAAGAATCTATTTCACACCCTGTTCCTCCTGCCTGAAATGACTTGCCCTTCTGTCCTAGGAGAGTGGGGAGCTTCAGGAAGCCTCCCAGAGTCCAGCTCAAATGTCCGGGAAGAGCAGCCACCCCCTGACCGAGGTAGGGTGAGCGCCCTCCTTGTCACTGTCCCGAGGCTGTATCTGTTTGGCACAGTGTGTGGGCAGCTGGCTGGGAGCAGGTACTGCTCTCAGTTCCCCTAGATCCCCCCCAGGCTCAGCAGAGGATGTGACTTACAGGAAGTCCTCAAAAGACACAATTCTCTTTCCTTTTAATTCTTTGTTGGTGGTGGTGGTTTTGCCCGAGGTTGACATGGCTTTCCACAGGCTGAATCCTGCCCGTCAGATGCAATTGCACCCACAATTACTGAAAATGTCGGAAAACTATTGCCGTCATGTAAAAGCAGGTTTGAATTTTGAACTGTATTCTGGGCGGCTCGGGACCTTTGGACGGTAACAGGTGGGGCGGAGGAGGCAGCCTTTCCCATGAATGGAATTGACTGGGTCCGGAGACATTTTTGATTTGGGGTTCAGAATCCCCAGCCCAGGTCTTCTCTCTGGCTGGAGCCGGCCAGGTAAAGTACGGGAGAGAAGGGAAGTAGGTGGTGCATTGCTGGGCTGCTGTGACATACACTGCCCATGGTTCTGGGCCGGGAGCCCCTTCTGGGAGGCCAGAAGATGGAAGGGGAGCCTCAGTCCTCAGTGATGTGGCTTCTGGACCCTGGAGACGGACAGCCCAATTTTGACTCAAGGAAAGATGGGAATTCTGGCTTTTCTTTTTCTTACAAAAACACACAATTACTTTCTCCGTTCCCATAAACTGTCCGCCATTCTGCCTGCTGCTGAGTGTAAGGGCAGTTACCATCATTTCTAAATACTCATTTAGAGAAACAATCAAACCTTTCTACACACCAAATATTTGCTTCTCAGCTTAAAAAAAAATTCCAAACACCTTTATCTTGGCAGCAAGCACTTCCAAAGATTGCAACTGTTTCAGGAGCTGGGGCCAAAATAAATGTTTTTCCCCCAAGGCCAACTCATTCTTGAATGTTTGTAAAATGTTTCCCTTTCTTAAAAAATGTAGTAAAAATTGCAATACATGAACATTAAAGAATATTAAAAACAGAAGGGTAAAAGCCAATGCCAAAACAAAATCACACAAGCACGCCCAGCTATTGGCACGGCCTGTTTTCTCCTTGCTTCCCCTTCCAGCCTTTCTTGTTGAGGGCGAAACTCTGAACAGTGCAGCTGTTTTGGGACTGGACGAAGAGTGGTGAGTGCTCAGTCTTTAGAGGTATACAGGCAAGAGCTTGCACCGCCTCCCAGAATTCCCATCTCAGTGGGTTTTCTACAAGAGCCTGTCTGACCCTAAAGTATGGCAAGGCTGTCTGAGCATCATACTTAGGGCTCTAAGTAGGAAGACAAAATGATGAAGAAATTCCTTTGAATGATGAAGATTGGAACCAGAGGAAGTTGATCGGTCCAGCTCTGCCATAGATGTGGATGAACCACTGGTCCCCCGGCTCAGCGTCTCATGGGGTGCTGGGGGCCTCCCCAGGAGTGGGATCTAGATGAGAGGTTCCCTGTGGGCGGGGAGAGGATGGTAGGGTAGGTTCCTGGAGTGGACGAGGCTCGAGCTGGTCTGGAGGGTTCCATTCGACAACAGATGCAAATCCCAGCATGGGATGGGAATGACTTGGACACTTGAGGACAAAGACCCATGGTCTTCTGAGAAGCAAGCAACACACAGAAGCATGAGAAAATGGGACAGGACGGGGCCTCCCAGCTCTCCCCTTTGCCAACCTCCCCACTCGGAGTCAGCTTGGGCTTATGTGGGCATGTGTTCACTGCCCCCAGGGCAAGAAAGGCAAGGGGTCATCTGCTCCTGTCCTCCTTACCACCATCCCAGGGCTCCTCGGCCATGTCCCGGCCTATAGGGAGCTCTAGGAAGCCTGGCTTCATGGGTGGGTGGGGAGGGAGAGGTGGTCTCAGGATGGCTGGGCTAGAGTGGATGGGTGGATGAAAAGGGGGAACTAGGTGGATAGCAGGACCGAGGTGAAAGGGACAGCAGAGGGAAGGGGATGGGTGGCGGGAGTGGGTGGATAGTCAGCTGTGGGATGGTGAGCCTGTGGGAAGGAGCAAGCGGGGGCAGGCACGCAGGTGGGTAGGTGTGTGAGAGCAGGTGCGTGTGGGCAGGTGTAGACATGGAGCTGGTGTAGGTGTGGGGCAGGTGCAGATGTGGGGCAGGTGCATGTGGGCAGGTGCCTGTGGCAGGTGAGTGGACCTGGCAGTGGACTGTTGGGAGGACGGGCTGATGAGCCGGAGCAGGGATGGGTGGGTAGATTTGGGGCGCTCTGTATTACAGGAAGGAATGATGTATATGTGGACGGGCCAGCGGAGATTATTGGGGTGTAAGAGATGGGCAGATGCCGTGGCTGATGTGCAGGCGGGAGTAGGTTTGGGCGGTGGTGAGTGCCGGGGAGATGAGTGTGAGCCGAGTGCCAGGTCATTGCTGGGTCGTTCAGTGGGTGGCAGCAAGCCACCGCAGGGTTAGCTGCTGGGACTGCCCAGGGAGAGCTGGGTGTGTGGGGAGTGAATAAGTGGGTGAGGTGACAGGTAGCTGGGAGCAGGAGATGACCTGCCATGGGGGTGGGCTGTGGGTGAGCAGGTGGGTGGGGGTAGGGGTGGACAGTAAGCTGGAGGAGGGGACTTTCAGCACTGACCACCTTGTCTCTTTCAGGACACCAGCCACACATGGTGGACTCCTGGCCCCGGAGCTCAGCACAGGAGGCGCCAGAGCTGAATCGCCAGTGCTGGGTCCTGGGGCACTGGGTGTGATGGGCCTGACCCAGCCCTAGTCCTCCTGCCATGACCAGCACCACCCCTCTCGCAAGACCAGTAGTCTGGGGCCCTCGGAAACCTGGCCCATGTGCTGTGGACTGAGCCTGCTGTCCAGGAGACGCCAGGCCCAACCTGCCACCACTGCCTGGGGCTCAGGGGCCAGAAACAGGCCAGGAGGGCCAAGGGAACACTCAGACTTACAGAGACCTGGGGACCACAGCCCGGACTCTTGCCACCATCACAGGCAGATCCCTGCTGGGTGCAGCTGGGATGCCAGGAAAGACAAGGCCATTGGCTACAGAATGCTGGGCACTCACAGCCAGCCAGGGAGCTGATAAGGGGCTCAGAGGGGCAGGGCCCTGTGGGGACAGGGAGGGGGGGCTTCCTGGAGGAGGAGGCAGCAGCTGGCACTGCAAAGGGCCACACAGCAGGCACACAGCAGGGGCTCAATAAATGCTTGTTGAACCTGTTTTCTTGCAGTGTGCGGAGGCTAGTTGCTCTCTGGGCTGTGGTTGCCACACCATCGCCCCACCCTGTGGCTCCAAGGAGCCTGAAGGTGAGAGCTCTGAGGGTGCCAAGGTCAGGGTCAGACACCGAGGGGTGGGGCAGAGAGGCCAGGGCAGGATGCCCACAGGCTGGCAGGGATGCCTCAGATCCCAGAGGGTGGGAGCCAAACCTAGACTCTGAACAGGGATGGTAAGGAAGTCACATTTCTCCTGTTAGTATAGCAAAGTCATGCCACCCTGCCCATCACAGGGACCCTTTACCCTATGCCTAGGGCTATCTTTACACAAAATGCCAGGTTAGATTCCTGAAGAAACTGATTTCTACTATAAAAATGAGAGTGTGTAGGGTGACAGAGATGAAGTAACACCTGAGATGGTGGAACCAGCAATGGCAGAGCTGACTTTGAACCAGGATGGGGGAGTCCAAGTTCAGCCTTCACAAAGCTTCAGCCCTTCCTGGAAGGATTCTTAGAGCATGGCAGAGCTAAGTAGAACACGTTCTTCATGATTCACTCATCCATCATCCATCCACCCATCCAGACGTCCATCCATGCTCCATCTATCCATCCATCCATCCTTCCTTCCATCCATTTACCCACCCATCCATCAATCCATCATCCATTCATCTACCCACCTATCATTCACTCTTCATCTATCCACCCATCCATAATCCATCCATCCACTCATACATCCATCTGTCCACCATTCACCCATGCACCTGCCCACCATCCATCCATCCTTCCCCCCACCCATCCACCCATCCATCCAACCAGCCGTCATCCATTCACTTACTCACCATTATTCATTCTTCAGCTTCCCAACCATCTGTAATCTATCCACCCATGCCATGTCATTCTTCCTTATACCAGACATCCCACCTCTTTCCGTGCATCAGCCATGGTCATCCAACCATCCATCCGTGTGTCCATCTATCCAGTGACGGGATTCATTGTGCCCATCGTGCATGTGGTATGTACTTCACATGTGAAACTGAAGCATCTGTCCACAGATGGGTAGGACAGATGACAGTTACAGCTTGGTGTATAAAGTGTTGTGTGCCCATCTCTGGGACCAGACAGCTTGGGTTCAGATCCTACCTCCTCCACTTGTGCTTGGGCAAGTTTCTTGACCCCTGTGCCTCCACCTCCTCCCTCATTACATGGGCATCGTTGCTATGCCTACCTCTTAAAGCTGTTGTAGGATGAAAACAGAGAATGGGACTGGTGCACAGAAACGCTCCGTGATGTGCACTGTCACTGCTGGGGGCGGGGCCTGAGGTGGTCCCAGGAGGCTCCTTCTGAAAAATGGCATTCGAGCCAAGCCAGGCAGCCAGGAGTGCAGGGAAAGAAAGTGTGCTGTAAGACTTTTAAACTAGTCCAGAAGGCAGGTGTGGAGGGGAGGGCCGTCGGGGTGCAGAGGTCACTGGGTCAGGCTAGGGCACCTCAAAGCTTCATTAGGCAGCTGAGTTTATCCTGGGGCAGCGAATGCCCTGGTGTACCCCAGTTCTGGGCATGGAGCAGGTGTGGGAGATGTGAGTCCCTTCTTTGTGAGAGAAGAGGGGTCTGGCTTAGGGAAGTGACCCTGGGGATGGGACTAGGTGGACTGACTTTGGCTTGTGAGGGACTGAGTGTGAGGAGGGGGAAGGGAAGGCGACTCGGTCATGGTGGGCCCAGAGGAAGGGAAGGTGCTTTCAGGGTCCAATGTCTGTAGTCTCATTTGCCTGGGACACGCAGGTGGAGGTGTGTGCTTACTTGACCATGAACTGATTAATTCAGGTGGCCTAGCCATTCATACTTCATTCACTTAGTGGGTCCTGAGGACAGACTGTATGGGGCTGGAGATGGGCCTGGGTACAAAGGCCTCCAACGTCTGCATAGGAGCTGGGGCTTTGGCCTTGTGCTAGAAGGCTATGCCATGGTGAGGGGTTGGGCAGGAGTGGGTCGGCAGGAGTCAGACCCAGACTGCCTCAGAGCCCCTGAGGTTGGTAATGGGCCCAGGAGGTCCTGGAGATGATTTTAGTTATATATGGGCAAAAGTTTAATCTATTTTAATAGTTGTGTTTATGTAAATGTGTATTAGAAAAAACTTGTATAGCAGGCACATCAGTGCTATGAATTCACAGACGTTATTGCTAAGGATAAACCAAAATAGGCACTTTAGTGAAAAGAAAGAGTTGGTTTAAAGAAAAATACTAAATAAATAACCATGCAAATGGCCTGTGATTATGGTATGTGGGCGGCTCAAAGGAGGGCCATTGTCACAGGGAAGGGAAAGAAGCAGGAGGAACACAAGGCCATTGGGCTTTAAATCCTCCTGCCTCCTCTGGGAAGGGGTTGGAAAGCACATGTCATCCAGTGCAGCAAGCAGGCTGATGGTTAGATAAAAGGAAGCACTTCCAGGCTGGCCAGGTGAGGAATCCTCACAGCTCACTGAGGGTTGTCTTCATATTGGAGGCCAATGCCGCTGTCTGCCTGCATCTGGGAGGAGGCAGGGGTGGCTGGGAGATCACAGAGGCCTGGTAGGGATGCAGAGGCCTCTCCTTCATCCTGCAAATGGCTTTCCCAGCTTTCTGTCCCTGTCCTTAGTGGACATGTCTTCACCTCGCAGGAGGAATGGCAGTGGGTGTGTGCTTCTCCGTCTTGACACCCACATGTTGGCCTGACCCACAGCCTTGTCCTGGCCTGGGCACTGGGTCCACCGTCTTGGGCTCACATGTGCCAGCCTCACTGTGACCCTGTCACACGTGCACAAGAGCATCGGAGGCTGACCTTGGCCAAGGGCACTGGCCCTGCAGATGCCCTCGGAGGCTGACGTGGCACAAATGCAAGTCAGTGCCCCGTCTGTGAGTTGTGCATGAGGTGTGCACACCCACGGTGCCTCACCGGGCCTGGACGCAGCGTCACTCCCATGTTAATGCCTGTGCCACCTGCAGTGCTCAGCAGGTGACCTCTGTCACATGCCCTTGTCACCCCTCTCCCCTGGGAGCCACCATCCTTTCCCTGTCCCAGCCTCCTAAGAATCAGGGCTGACTTCCTCCCTGGCTGGTGGCTGTGATGGTGGCCACTCATCCCCTGTCCCCCACTGCCACTCAGTCTGGGCCACACACTCATCTCCCTGGGTAATGGAAATGTCAGCTTGATTCATGGGCGTTTGTCTGCGGCAGGCAGACCTGAGGACAAGACTAGCGGGGGAGGCTCATCCCCTGCAAGGAGGAATCGGAGCCTGAGCCTGAGTCCTCCCTGGGGAGGAAGTGAGGACGCACAAAACACCCTAGGCTGTGAAGTGAGATGGGCCTGAGTTCAAATCCTGAACCCACCACAGGCCTGCCATGGTGGCGAGCTGTGCACGGGGGCTGCTGCCTTCTCTTCATGGAGTATATGCTGCAGGAGGAGCAGGTTTTACGTGCATGACCCTAAATATTCAAAAAGTCACTTTAATATTGAAGAGTGTTATGTAGGAGAACAGAGCAGGGAGACGGGGCCTCTGAGGAAAGACCATTGCAGCCCCTGCTGAAGGGTGAGGCAGAGGGCGTGAGATAAAGTGTGTGCAGAAGGAGCAGCATGTGCAAAGGCTGTGGGGTTGGGAGCAGCCCTGTGTTGGACTGTTCAGTGCTACAGCTCAGAGTGCCTTGAGCTCAGGGTGAGGCTATGAGGGCTGCTGCTGAACAGACTTCTGGGGTCCCTGAGCATGGGACCTCATGGGCTGTGGAGAGGACTGAGGTCTTCATCTTCAGGGACACCAGGAAGGCAGACACGTGGGGGCACCGGAGGCCACAGAGGCCTGGTGGGATTGAGGAGCAGGCACTCTGAGTGGCCAAGTTAGACGTGGAAGACAGGCCCTGGGTGGGCTGCAGGGCTTGGAGGTTCTGCATCTGTGCTGTGCCAGCCCCTCCCGCAGGAGGACAGGGAGCCATGCACAACTGGCTGGTGGCCAGCCCCACCCAGGTCTGGGATTGAGGACAAACAGCAAAGCCACCAGTCTCCTCCATGTGGGGACAAGAAATCACAGTGCAGGGCAGGACCTCTCTGTCCCCAGAGTGGCCCAGTTCCTGGTTCCCTGGCTAGTCCTTCTTGGGCCACATTTTACTAGACACTTCTGCTTCAGGGGAGGATGATGGCTGAGGGCTTGGCAGGGGAGTGGGGCTGGGGAAGCAGGGGACAGAAAAGACTCCCAGGGATAATAAGTGGGAAGCCAAGGTCACCTGAGCAGGGTGAAGAGTCAGCAGGGGTGGGACATGGACCTCAGCCCAACCAATGGGTGGGCAGCTCTATGGCCAGCACCCTTCATGGGCCAATCAGCTGAGGCTGAAGCTACTAGAAATTCCAGAGGGATGGGGCTCTGGAAAAAGCCCCCTGGGGGTCCCCCCCCAAGCCCCAGGGTCCCTCTCTTCCTATCTTGGGTTTGCACACCTGTGAAATGAGGGCAACTGTGAGAAGGCCAGTGTGTCTTCTCCCCCAGGAGGGCTGAACTCTGAGAGCCAGGTGGAGCTCAGGGATGCCAGCAACCCCTTCAGAAAGCAGGTCCTATGGGTGCCCCTGAGGCCTGGGTAAGGAAGCCAGATCAGGTCACTTGCCAAGGTCACATGGTCAGGAAGTGGTGGAGCCTGAACTTGAACACAGGCCGGCTAGCCCTGGGACCATTGCACATCATCAGCAATGTGCTGGGGAGAAGGGACCCTGCAGCTAAGGACCAGCATGTACTACCCACAGTGACCTTCCGCGATGGACCTATAGATAGTCTGTACAGAGCTTGGCCTGTGAGCAGAGCAGTTTCCCGGAGAAGCTGGGGAGACTGTGGGTGGTGTAGCAAACGTCAAGGGCACAGAGAGACCCCGACACATCTGTGCAGGTCACACCTGAACAGCTGGGGAGACTGGGGAGACACCATTGGGCACATGAGCTGGGTGGAGTCAGCCTTCCCCAGTTCCCAGCCCCCAGCCTGGCCCTGTTGCCTGACTGGACAGTGGAGGCTGAGTCCCGGGGCCAAAGCCCTCTGCTTGCCTGGCTGGGTACTCACTGTCAGCACTGTTCCCATGTCTCCTCCTGCTCCTCCACCTGTGAATTCATTACCTCAGAGCCATGAAGGTGAGTGAGGAGAGCAGCAGGCTGAGGTGGGACAAAGGGGCTGCACGGCCTGGGGACACCTGGAGAGCAGCACCCAGTGAGTGGCTGGCTGGGTGTGAGGGACGGCGTTGCCTGATTGTCCCATCTTTCTGGAAAAGCAGGGAATCTGATTCGGACATGAATGCTGATGGCAGATGAAGGCAGCTAATTAAGAGCCTGTAGCATTGCCCAGAGAGTGCAGTCAGCGAGCCTGGGAGCCCAGCCTAGGCCGTGGTCGGTCCTGGCCCCAGGTGAGGCAGAGATCAGGCCTGGGGAGGGTTCAAGGACATCTTTCTGACTCCCTCTGTGGTGGTACTCAGACCAGACCCCAGTCCTGTGTCAGGAAAGTCACCTCCCCACTGTGGGCCAGAGGTCACAGGAGGCTGGGGAGGCTTCTGGGAGACCTGTCTGCTGTTCCTTAGGCCTCTGTCAGCAGCAGCCAAGACCTGTTCCAGTGACCCTGCCTGGTGCTTGGGCAGATGCCCAGGGTTGAGGGGGGATGGGATACATGTGTGTGGGGACCCCCAGTGGGGGTGGAAGCCCTCTGTTCTCCAATGACACGTGAGGACACAAAGGGTCACCAACTGATGCTGTCTTTTTGTCCATACAGGGCAGTGGTCCGGCAGAGGGGCCAGGATTAATGTCTTTCCTTTCATCTCCCAGGAGAGAGCAGGCTGAGAGGCTCAGCGCTGGGCACCCTGGGAGCTGGGGGAGCCGCTGGGTGGGGTGGCTGCGGAGGGAAGGAGACTGCTTCCAGTGGTGTTTGGTTCCTGCTGTGTTTGTTTGCTTGTTTGAGTTGAGTCAACATCGAGAAGTTGGATTTCACATTAAAAATGGCGAGTGGTAGAGCACCTGCCTAGCTAGCATGAGGCTGTGAGTTCAAACCCTAGGACTGCCAAAAATAAATAGTAGATTCAGTAGATTGCCCCGGTGTGTGGCCATTCTGAACACCCTTGCAGGTGTGTGCTGGCCACTGAGGCTGTGCTGCAGTACTCCCTCAGAAGGGCCTGTCCAGCCCTGGGAACCAGCGACCTGGCAGGCCCACTTGGCTCCCTGACATTGCTTGCCTGGCCCCTCACTCTGGTGGCAGCAGAGAGGCTCCTCAAGGTCACCCTTACTGACTACCAGGGATGCCTCACTGTGGGAGGGAGAGGTTTGTTCTCCAACACCAAGGGTCTGGGGAGAGCCGGGCCCTAGGACAGGTAGGGTGGCCAGAGGCCCTGTCTTTCCCCTGTGCCTGGGGCTGGGCCTCCCTCTCCTGCTGACTCTTCTCTTGGGTGGGAGGAGCCGGGGGGGGCGGGGGGGTCACCAAGGGGATGGGGTTTCCCAGGAACTGCCTTCCCTGATGGCCTGATGACACCTCCCACCCACCTGCGTCTTCCAGGTGTAGGGAGGTTGGAAACCAGGCACTGGGGAGCTGGGGAAGGCAGACACAGGACCAAAGACCCCCTAGGATTACCGGCTCCCCAGTGGCTTAGGGCGTGGCAGCAGTCACACGTTAGCTCCCTCTGGGTGACCCCGGATCTGGTGTGCCAGCCTTTATTCTTAATAACATCTTTTATTGATTTTGCAAGAAAAAAATAGAAACTCATTTTAAGAGTTATGTCTATGCAGATGCTTCTTTTCCTTCCTACACAAAGTAACTACCCATATCAACCATGGTTCTGGAAGTGAACGTGTGCCATGTCCCTGTGTCTCCCACTTGTACCCACGGCCTGGGTGGTGCGGGCGGCAGGAGTCCTGCTGGGAAAGCCGGGCTCTGGATCCTGTCCTAGGAGCTAGTTTGATCCGCCCCTGCCTCTCCCCAGCTGGCAGCAGCTATCCTGGGAGCTGAGAGATCTAGGAGGGACTAGGCCCATCCGGGAGCTGAGCAATGGAGCCAGGGCTGGAGAGCTACAGCAATGATGGATCTCGTGGAGGAGAAAGAAACACTCTTATCTGCACATCAGCCCCGCTCCAAATGCAGAGCGCATTTGCATAGCTGCTGGGCGCTGCAAAGCTCATAAAGCATTTGCGGGCTCTGGGTTGCATAGGAACGAACTGAGTACAGTACCACGGCAGCCAGCCGGCCTGGCGCCAGCAAAACAACGGATTAATATTTGGAACGAGAAATTACCCACCACTGGGAAACCAATTAGGTCCCTGATCCGAGCTTGTTACATAGATGGAAATAGATGTGTTCTGGTCTCCACATGGCTGGGCACATTTCCAACTCACTGGGAAGTGGCTGGACTGCAAGAGGGAGAAAGGGCTGGAGTAGGGGGTGAGACCCTCACTCCTGGCTCCAAGGGCACAGAGGGAAATCAAGGAGCTGGGCGATCAGATACAAGGGTGCACAGCGAGCACAGTGAGGTGGTCTTCCTTCAGACCAGGTTCAAAGGTAATGGGAGGTTGGGGCTTCAAGGGCCCTTCTCTTCCCAGACTGCATCCAGGTCCTTCCTTTCCCCAGCAAGAGACATGTCCTTGACCAATCCTGTTTCAGACTTGGCAAGAGGGCAAAGGCCCCTCCCAGAGGGCCCTTGGATAAGTGAGGGCATTGTGGCAGTCCTGACCAGATGTCCAGGGCCCTGTCAGCCAGCCTGTTGGCCCCATGTGAGGCAGGGCTGGGCTAGGGGACATGGTCACCTCTCAAGTCCCTGCATATTGGAGTGGGGTTGGGCCAGCCCTGTATAGCTCTGCTCTGGGGCTAAGGTGGACGGAAGCCTTCCCAGTCCACTCACCTCCTGGCCTGAGTCAGGGTCAGCTCAGGCCCTGCATTGTTGGACATTGTAGGAGAGGTATAGAGTCAAGCGTCCCCTTTCCCTGTAGCCAGCCCCACCTGCTCCGTCTGACTCCTGTCAGCTCCCAGGGCTGTTACCCCATGCTGGGTCTCTTCCAGCCTTTGGGGTCTTGGCTGGCCAAGACTGAGGCCTGAGGGACATGGATGCAGAGCAAGGCCAGGCTGGGCCCACCTGGCTGGGGTGGGGGTGGGGGTGGCTCTCCAAGCCACATGTCAGCACCGCCGCTGCCTGGCTGGCTCCTTCTCGCTTATGCAGGTTTTGGGGCGTAGGGCTGTGGAAGGAGCAGAGGGAGGGGAGTTATCCAGCCATAATGCAACCTGGACGGTGTCTCCACCTGCGGGGAGTTTCCACCACAGGCCCTTGGAGACCTGACCACCACCTGCAGCTCCAGGTGCTTGGCACCTGGCCCATGCTGTGTGTGGAGCAGCCTCTACCACACAGCCCCCGGGCCTTTGCCCACAATGCCTGGCACATGTCTGCTGGCCACCACCTCCCCGTCCACCCAGAACCAAATGCCTGTGGTGGGAGAAGAGTGGGCAGAGGAACGACGCTAACCTGGGTCAGCGGCACTTGGCTTCCTTCTGGAGTTGGTAATGATTTGGTTTTCGTTCACCATCTGGACGTCCTGATCCTCCACCTGACTACTGTGGGAGGAAGGAGATGGAGATTTGATCAGCTGCAGTTCCGGTTCCTGCCGTCCATCCTCCTTAGGACTGGCTGGGAGGCATGGGGCGGGCTGGGGATGAACCTGGTGGTGGTGTGCTTCTCCTGGAGACAGAGGTCCGTGTCCTCGGTGAAGAGGATGGTGTGGTAGGGCACCGTGGGCTCACACGTGGGCAGGATGCCTCCTACCAGGTGGTTCACCATGGCCACGATGCCGTTGTATACCAGCAAGTCATCCACCAGGAGCTGGACAGACACAGAGGGCTCAGGATTCCTCACCCCGCCCCCCCCCCCCCCCCCCCCCCCCCCGACCTCAAGTGAAACCCTGAACCCTTGCTGTTCTGAGTAGGTTTCTCCCCTGAAGACTGTGGCAGCCTGCGTTATGACCCCAGTGCTTCCCAGCCAGCTCCTGAAGTCCCAGAAGCTCAGGTTTAGCAGCTTAACAGCATTCAAGGCACGAGGCCCCCCTTGAATGGCCCGTGACTCTGTGTGTCTCTGCTCCCAGGCCCTGCTCTCCCTCCCTAGTCACCTCCCCAAGCCAGAGCCATTCTGGAGGCAGTCATGAAAGGAAAGCCCTCCAGGGCATTTCTGAAGGAACTGCTGGGTGGCAAATTTCCCCCCACCTAGGAATTTCCAAGGTTGCAACAGAGGGAAGTAAATCAAACTGCGACAAATGATAATTGTCGGCAGCGTAATTACCAACGAGCATAATTATCTCAAAAACCCAGCTAATAAGTACTTACGCCAAACTCCTTCACCCCGCGATGGGGTGTTTTCGCGTAATTCCACAGTTTGATCATTGACACCGTGGTGGGCAGGTCGAAAATCACATAGACCCGGTTTACCTGTGGGAGAGCAGTGCTTATTAAAACAGGCATGTTTGGAAACAGAGGCCAGGCTGGGCCTGGCAGGGCCAGGGATGCTGAGTGTGGGCTGAGCCCAAGGTATGTGCTGCCAAGCTGTCCATGGCAGCGGCCTGGAGTCCTGCGGCCTTCATCTCTTCCAAGCCCATCTGGAGTCAGGTCACGTGTGGCTGCATTTGCAACAAACCGCTGAGCTGGCTCTTGCAGGGACCGTTTTCTTGGGCCTGCTTGGTCCTCATTTAAATACATGGAGAATTGGGAACACTTCAGCCTTCCCCACGTCAGGTCCAGAGACAGTGTGGGGCTCCATGGCCAAAGGGACGGTCCCTAACTCCAGATCCAAGAGCTTTACCCCTCACCCCGAACTCCTGCAGGGCCTTCACTGCATTTGTCCTTTCCGTGAATCAGAGATGAGAAGCAGAGACCCTGACTGCACTGCTGGGTAATTTTCAGCCAGTGTCTTTGAACCTGTCTGCTGGGGGAGGGGCTGCCGGATCTGTCCAGAATCCAGTCAGTGCCTGGGCCAACAGTCCCAAGACCCCTCTCCCCTTGTCTCCTAGCAAGGACCCTCAAATATTAGCTGGGGGGGCTTACAAGGCTGAATGAACTGTTAAGTGCTTAGCATTGGCCCAGCTCCCTGGCCTGCAGCCTCCTCAGAGGGCATGGGCAGGATTGTGGCTCCCCCAACCCTCCAACCTTCTGGTTGTGAGGGAGTCCTCCAACTCAGTGGAGTCATGTGCTTGAGTGTGGCTGGGACAGTGGCAGTTGGAAGAGCCACCAGACATCACAGGCAGCACACACCTAGAGTCCGCCAGCCAGAGGGCACGGTCTAAGGGGCCACAGGGTTATGTGATTCTCCCTTTTCTGGGGTGGGGCTGGGGCTAAGTGGCTGACCCTCAGTTCAAGGAAGTTAGAGACATCCCAGAGGGCCCCACTTGGGGATGGTTTTTGGCAAACATCAGCTGCTACCCCATCCTGTGAGTTTTGAGAGGAAAATGGTGTGTGTTCCGTGTTGCCCCTCCCCCATCACCAACCCACCTTCATGGATAGAAAAGGGACAAGGCAGTGAGCCGAGGCTGCCCCAGACCCTGCTGTGCACCTGTGCACAGGCGCCCGGCCTGCTTCTAGGCTGGCCATGAGACTGTGGGAAACTGAGTCAGTGACTAGAAGAGCTGACCAGGCAGATCTGGGGCCAGATCAAGGGCAGAGCAGCAACACTGGGGCCAAATGCCCGTGGTGTAAGGGAGGGGCAGAAACACCCAGAGGATGGTGGGGGTGGGAGGAGGAGCGATGGGGAAGGGGGCAGTGTAGCCTGCAGCAAGGCAGGGACAGGAAAGAGAGACAGAGAGAGACAACCACAGGGATGGAGCCCCCAGCTTCCAGCTGCCACACCAGGCTTCCTGGCCTCAGAGTCTCTTTACAGAGCAAAGAAAAGGAACTGCAGGCTAGGAGGAGATGGTCAGATATGCTAGCAAAGACCTCCCCACCCTTTTAATGCTCCCAGGCATTCCATGCCTCCTGAAAGAGAGAAATCACGGGGACCAGGGGCAGAAGTCCTGGTCTACCCCAGAGAGGCACCTACCAGGCCTGGCAGGATGGGTGCCAGCCACATGTGCCTGCCGTCGCTAGTGTTGTTCACTTGGTCGATGAGCTTGTCAGGGGTCCGCACATCCCCACATACGCCCTCCAGCACATTCACACTGTCTGGGAAGGCAGCGATATCTGAGAGGGCACTAAGCTGAAATAACGCAGAGCAGTGTGCTGAGGCTGCCAGCAGCCAGCCTGCTGACAGTGCTGTAGCTGGGGGACCTGGGCTGCCTGCTGCTCTGGGCAGCCCGGGAAATGACAGCTAAATCAGGCATGTGCCAGGAAATGAGAGTGCAGCTAAGGGGAGCTGGCATGAGCAGAGGGCTGCAGTGTCAAGTACAAAGCGAGATCTCGGAGAGGGCTGGAAAGAGACTTCCCAGAAGCAGATGCTGGAGACAGGGGAGACAAGGCTTGGATGCTTTGCAGAGCAGAGCCAGCTATGTGGAGGTTCCCAGGAAAAGACAGGTGATAGCTGGTGAGGCGGAGCCAGCCTCCAACCATGGCCAAAGGTGAGGGCAGCCTGGCCCAGCAGTGGCCACTCAGCAGAGGGGCTTCAAGATGGATCTGGCAGAACCTGTATGACCGAGACCTTGGGACAGCCCTGGGCCTGTGTCCTTATTTGGAAAATGGTTATGAAACCCTCTATGTTCCAGGATGGACGTGAGGGCCTCAGGGATATGGGCTGGGAGACTGATACGTCCAGGAGCCACCAAGGATGATCAAAAACACCAGGCATCCTTCATCCAGGTGAGCAGAAAGCCCAAGGCCCATCTGGAATCCTGACCCCAGTCGGATGCAAGGCAGGCATTGGGGGATCAATCTGCTCTGGTTTCCCTCCAACTGTGGAGGATCGGAGATTATAGACTCACAAATGCAGAGGGGTACAAAGGTTGCATGGAAGAGAAGCAGGATGGCCCAGTGGTTAAGAGCCAGGCTGTATGACCTGAAGCAAGTTATTCACGCTCTCTGTTCAGAGTTACCCTCTCCCTACCAACATTCTCTGTCCACAAGATCACTGTGAAGGCAACTGAGGTGCCTGGTGACAAGCCCTGGCACAGGATGACCCCTCAGTACACATTAACAATGTGTTTTGGGGTCTGGAAGATAATGACAGGTAGGAGGAGGACTGAGGCAGACTGGGAGGACACACCTGGGAGAAAGGGCAGCTCATAGTTCCAGGGCCTCGCACTGCCAACTTCTCAAGAGAAGCCAGAGATAGGGCTTGTCATTTAAAAGTGACTAACTTAAAAATAAAACAAAACAACAAAAAACTTCAAAATCTACCAGGATAACAGTCTACAAAACCCAGTGTGGGCAGATTACAGGCAAATGGTCTCACATTAATACATTCAGAATGCGCTGAATTAACACAATGCCACAGGGTGGGTGTTTCTCCCTGTAGATTCTGTCAGAACCTTTACAGCTCCAACATGCCTGTTGTTCTCTGAGAGGGGCACTGTGTTGGCTGCCTCTCCCCAGCCTTTCGATCACAGGAGTCTGGGCTGGGGCGTTTTTTTCACTGGGGGTTCTGGTTCCCAGAGGGACCTTTCTTCCAGTCCCTGGCTCTGCTCCTCCCCAACCTGCCTGTGTGCCCTTTTTCTGGAAGGATACTGTTTTCCGACAATGGGATTTTCTCTCCATGCTGATCATACAGCTCCAGCCCAGTGAGGCCAATGTAGTAAGGGTCACCCCAGCTGGTCAGCAGCTGAAACTGAAAAATGACTGGGCATATGGTTAAAGAAGAGGATAGGCGAAGCACTGCAGGTAGGAGGGGCTTGGTTCTGCTTATATCAATGAAGAGAGGGAAAAAGATGCTTTCCTTTTACCCAGACCTAAGCCAACTGAGAGCTACGTGGTGTCAGGCTCTCTTAAAATTTAAACTGTGTGTGTGTGTGTGTGTGTGTGTGTGTGTGTGTGTGTGATCTTTGTGTGTGTGTGTGTGTGTGTGTTCTAAAACTTGCCGGGTGTGTGTGTGTGTGTGTGATCTTTGTGTGTGTGTGATCTTTGTGTGTGTGTGTGTGTGTGTGATCTTTGTGTGTGTGTGATCTTTGTGTGTATGTGTGTGTGTGTGTGTGATCTTTGTGTGTGTGTGTGTGTGATCTTTGTGTGTGTGTGTGTGTGTGTGATCTTTGTGTGTGTGTGATCTTTGTGTGTGTGTGTGTATCTTTGTGTGTGTGTGTGTGTGATCTTTGTGTGTGTGTGATCTTTGTGTGTGTGTGTGTGTGATCTTTGTGTGTGTGTGATCTTTGTGTGTGTGTGTGTGTGATCTTTGTGTGTGTGTGTGTGTGATCTTTGTGTGTGTGTGTGATCTTTGTGTGTGTGTGTGTGTGTGTGTGTGTGTGATCTTTGTGTGTGTATGTGTGTGTGTGTGTGTGTGTGATCTAAAACTTGCCCCTGGTCCCAGGAGAGGACGGTGCCCTCCAGGGAGCAGACAAGGCAGGCAGGTATCTGTGTCACAAGCTCACTGTATGGTGCCAAAGAGTCACCTGATGTCATGCCTCAGTTTTCCTGGCTATGAAATGACAAGAACAGAACACCTCTTCACCCTGTCCCCAGGGTTAGCAGGGGAGCCACAAGCTCCACAGCAGCAGGAAGGAGGGTGCAGCAGGGCCACCTGTCATTGCTAAGTCCAAGTGCACAGTGGACATGGAGCCCCTTGTTCACTGCTGGACCTCTGCACCTTGAGGACAGACAGGGTGGGAGGCCTGAGGAGGGGCAGGCGATGTCATAGCCAGGCCAGTCTGTCCAGAAGAGCCAGCTGAGCCAGCGGCATCAGGCCTACCCTCCCCACTGGGCACCCTGAGCCTCTCTGTGCCTTCATTTTCTCTTCTTTCTAAGCCAGGGCCTGGCTATACAGCTCAGGCTGGCCTCATGCTTGAGAGCCTCCTGCCTCCCCGTCCTAAGTGCTGGGATTACAGGTGTGACAATATGCCCAGCTCCTATGCCTCACTTTCTCAGCTGTGAGATGGGGTTGCCAGCAGAGGTGCACAGGGCCGTTGTGAGAACCAAGTTTACACCAACATAGAACAGTGTTGACCACAGTAGGAGGCGGCAGATCAGTCTCTCTTCCTTCATCTGCCTCCTCCCTGCCTGCTCCAGCAGAGCTGCAGTCTGGCCCTGGGGTCAGCTTCTCCAGCCTCACCCAGCAGGGCTCCTGCAGCCCAGCAGGAGTGGGCAGGAACCAGTGTTGCTATTGTCTGCAGGGGCAGATGCCCAAGGACCCTGACCCTGTCCTCCTCTGTCTTGTTTTCTCTGTGTGGCACCCAGCTCTGGGCGACAGAAGAAGGATACAGCCACAGGGCATCAGTGGGGCCTCATAGTCCATGCTGGCGCACTCCAGGCTTTTCGAGTTGAGCCTGTTGGGATACGAACAGCACAATGAGAAGATCCTGGTGGCTGGGGTCACTGCTCAGTTGTTCCCCAGGCCACAGACTTCAAATAAACACAGTAGTTGTGTGCTTGAAGTTCTATTCTCTCAGGGGAGACCCAGCGTCTGAGGAGGGGCAGTCATGGCCAAGGCCAGCATGAGGCTGGGCCTGGAGTCAGGTAACTTCTAGGAGCTCCCTGATGAGGACCCTGGCAGTCCTGAAAGCATCCCAGGAGTGGGCACTTCTCTATCCTGGGTATGGTCCTGGATGCTAGAACATGAAGCCATTTGTGCAAGGCTACATAGCTGGCAGGGGGTGGAAGTGGGATATGCCCACTGCCTTACCCTTCTCCCCCAGAGTCCACACAGTGCCAAGAGCTGTGAATGGACTAAGAGACCAAGCAACTGGGTGTAGCAGACAACCTCCTGTTTGGGGGAGGCCTCAGGAGCAGCGAGAGTCAGCCTTCCAGAGGGCACAGAGTCAAGGTCCTAGGTAGGAGGGAGCTGAATGGGTATTCACCTCAGAAAGTAGCCAGAAGAGTGGATTGTGGGCAGGACAGGGAAAGGAAGGTGGGAGGTGGGGAAGCCCTGAGAGCTGGGGCTTCAGGATCTCCTAGTATCCTGGCCTCAGTCCCTACATCTGTAAGATGGGTATGCCGTCTTGACATTAAAGAGTGGCTGGAAGGACAAATACAAAGCATCTAGCACCCCACACTGGGGACCTGGGGAGGGAGCAGTCTCTCCACACTGTTCATGCCCACCCAGCCTCTCTCCCAGCCTAACCTGGGTCTCTTCAATGTCAAGGGCAATGTTACTACTAGTGCCTGTTTCCAGTGACCCGCCAAGAAGAGACTGGCTACCGGCTACGGCCGAGGGAAGCTCATTTGATTCAGAGCCTGGCCTCTGGCGTTTGGACAACAGGGGTGGAAATGAGCAAGCTTAACGTGGCATTTACAAATTGTTATGAACTCAATGCAGCGAGACCAGGGCCAAGAAATCCCAGCGAATCCATGAACTGTGAGACTGTTTTTGTCTTTTGAAGCTTTCTTTAGAACTGCTTCTGAACCGGCTGGCAGGCTTCTCTGGAATGGAGGCCACTGCAGCCTCTTTTCCCAGCAGGAGGCTCAAGGAAGCATTTAAAATCTTAAGCACTCCAGACTGGAGAAACCCAAACAGCCCCAGATCTGGAGGGTGCAACCTACAGGCTTCCGGAGAGGCTTGGCTGAGCTTTAGAAACTAGCCAAGGTGAAACTGGTGTGTTCGATCGTTCGTTCAAAACACTGAGGGCAATGTAGGACGGCCACGCGCCCATTCCCCTCACCTCCGGGCTGGTGGGGGTGGCAGCCGGGCTTGTAGGTGGTCCACAAAGAGGATCTCTTGAGCAAAATCAAAGTGGCAGCTGCCCGGCCCCTTCCGGATGAGGAAGCCTTCTGCAGGGGAGACGCACAGGCCATCCAGGGACACATGGACGATCTTGGCCTAGCAAACGAGAGACATACCTGCCTGAAGTGAAGGAGCAGTGTGCAGGACAGCAGCTTGTGGAGGACATTAGTGGAGCCCCAGGCATGAGAGCAGCAGGGCCTGGCCTCTCTCCCACACCAGGACCACCTGGTCAGGCCACTTCCTGGTGTCAGCCCTACCTCATGCCAAGTGCTGTGCGAGACAGGGAACAAAAGGTCAGGCAGCGGGACCCCTACTGCAGTGGACTCCAACACATGATCTCCAGTCCCTGAGACCCACCCCAGCACGTCACCAGCTGCAGTGGTCTGTGGCAGCAGGGCACGGTGGCCAAGGGCACGGACCTGGGAGCTGTGCGTGCTGTCCTTCCCTCTGCCTCCCTCCTCTCCTCTGCCCAATGGCCACAGCGTGAGTTAACTTACGAAGGTGCCCTGAACAGTGCCTGGCATGAAGCTGGCACCCTGTGAGCACTGACCTGCATCTGCCTCCTCATGCCCTGTTCACACCTGGTCCCCTCGGGAAGGGGACACCACTTCCTCATCTTCCCTTTCACAGCACTGAGCAGGCCTCTCAGAGTTTCCAGGCAGAGTCCACAGCTGGAACACAGCGTCTGGGCACTGAGAGCTTTGTTCCCAAAGACCCCCGATCTAGGCCAGCAAGTTTCAGAGCCCAGTGGCTGTGTGGGGCGTCTCTGTGTAGGCCGTCTCTGTGTAGGCCATAGCCAGTGCCTCTCTCCGACCACAGGAGTCGGGGTCAGCTTTTTTTGCACAAGTGACCCACCTCTGTAGGCAGCAGTGTGGTAGTGCAGCTGCTCATCAAAATGCTGCAAGTTCCCTCCCTGGGTGGGTCGGAGGGACAGCTCACTGTCTCCTGGGGCTCCTCCCCTCCTCCTCTAGGCCAGGCACTCACAGGGCACAGGATCCTCAAATGTGCTGGGCAACTGGCTTCAGGCACAGCTGTCTCTAGGACCTGGTCTGGGTCTCTCTATTGATCTCTTTTCTGCTTTCCTAGGTACATTCCTACCCTAGCCCACAGCTGGACTTGACCCGACCAGAACCTGGAGTTTGCTGGACTGTCTTCTAATCCTCTAAGGACAGTCCTCTCTCCCTGGACTTGGTGTTAGCATGATGCAGGCCTGGAACTGCACAGTTTGCCCTGCAGACAGTCTCCGAGAGTGAACCAGACACAACAAAGCAGAGGCCCAGGAAGCACCTAGTCTGTACCTGCTCCCCTTCTATCTTCATTGCTGGGGAACCAGCCTTCGGGGAGTATGAGTGACCTGCCCCAGGGCCCAGTGAAGGGACCTGAGCTCACCTCCTGAAGTCTAAGACCCTGGCTTCAACCACCACACCAGGGGCCACACCCAGGGTGGTGAGGAAATGAGGATTTGGGGTATGGAGACAGGGGTCATGGGGCCTATCCTTCTGTACTTGGGCATCTGCCATTTCATACCTTGGGCACCTCTGCTGTGACCACTTGTCATGGGCACTGATGCAGGTGGGGTCAGACCTGGGAGGCAGAGACTCTGGGCTCAGGACTTTCCACAATGAATCCAGTCTCAGAAGCTCAGATGGAAACACTAATCTGCACAAGCAGAGTTAAGGCCCACAGGCACCACTGAGGCAGAAGAATGTTCCTAATGCCAGTATCTCTGACCTTCTTATGCTGAGCTGAGGCACTCACACAGACCCTGATTTTGGCTTGGAGAGCTGGAAAACTGCCTAAGAGGAGCCCTGGCCCCAGAGAGGACTTCACTGGTCCAGCACCTTGTTGTGCTGGGAGGGCCAGAGTCACCGATCCCATAGTAGTGCCTGGGCCAGTTCCTAAGGCTCTACAAAACCCATGGAAGAAATTCCACAGCATGGCACATGGGGGGAGCCCAGGTCCAGGGATCACAACACCTGAGGTTGAGTCCTGGTCTTGTCTACTGTTGTGCGGCAAAGGGACGCCAGCCCTTCCAAAGCAGGTGGCATCTACATGCTGGTTTACAGTGAAGGGAGGAGCTGGGGAGAACAGGCAACAGAGGGGGTCAGGGCAGAACTGAGGTTCAGTCTTGGTCCTTTGATCCCTCTGTGCCACTGTGTTTTTGATGGCCTTAAACACGGCTGTATGTGATGGGAGGAAACAGTCACTCGTTGCCACTGGAGGTCACACTGATGCATTTTCTCTTGTTCCAATAATGCTGTGTCTTATGACTCCTGCCACTCCCCCTGGCCCACTGGCTTTTCACACCCAGCAACAGAAGAACACAGTGTGGAAATCAGGGTTCAGGCTTCATATCCAAACAAGTGGGATGGAGACTCTAGCTGTGTGGCCTTGGACAAGTGACAAACCTTTCTAAACTTCAGTTTAGTGCCTTGAGAGGTAGAGCAATGACACATGCCCCCCAGAGACTAGAATGGAAATCCAACGAAATGAAGGGTAAACATGAAGCCCATGGCATAGACCTGGTCCCCCTCGTGCTCAGTGGACACCGGGCTGTAACTGACCACTGTGAGTTAGGTCTGGGCCTTCCCTGGCTCTGTGGTGTGCACCTGCTGTTTATAGAAGGAAAAGGCAGTTTGCTCCTTCCCTGAACGTCACCCAGCACCATGTGGAAAGTTCTGGAGGATTTATGCCTCTCTCCGGCAGCCACGCCAGCCATTCATCATGGTGCGCTTCCCTGACAGTGGACTGAGCATGGCCGCTCTTCCCTGCTTACCCCTCGATAGGTGTCCTCGGGAGATTTATTGTAGTTCCAGAAGCGCAGACCTGCGATGCTCTCTGCTCTGTCAAAGTGGATGGTGACCACGTGGTCTAGCCCTGGTGAGAAAGGGATCAGCCACATATGCTCATCCTCCATGGTGATGTTGGTGCCATCGATCAACCTGCAGGCAACGGAAGGAGTGGTGACATGGTGGCAGCCATCGGCACCGGGTTCTGTGGGGCTCAGCCCACTTGTCATCTGTGCCCTGACTGGCCCCAGCCCCCTGGAACAGGTGATCAAGGGAGGGAGGAGGCCAATGAGATTCTTAGTGAGCGGTCAGTTCTGTGGTAGGAAGTTAGGACTTTAAGAAGGAACAAAACCAAAGAAACAAAAGCAGCTTATGCTGTTGAAGAGGCAGCAAGGCAATCACCAGAAATGGGGAAACTCATCACCTTTCAGAATCCTTTAGCCTAGTGGAGCCCATTTCTGGGATTTTTTTTTCTCCTAAGGAAAATTTACTCCGCATGTTGGAAAGGCTGTCTACACAGACATTCATCACAGAGTTCTGAATACTGGCAACCCTCCCCAGATGAGAACCTGAGAACCTAAAGTTTCTCTACATAGAAAAGTGGGGAAATACATCTGCACGGTGGTAAGTGTGATTATTATGATAGGCTATGGGGACACAGGATGGGCGGGCTTCAGGTGGCAGGGACGTTGACTGTAATGCTGGGAAGTGAGGATGGGGACCAGACAAGACTGTGCAAAAGTAGAAAATAATTTGGCTCACAGGGGATGGGGAGGTGAATACTTTTCTGTTTTCCATTTTTTAGACAACTGTCCTGGCTCCTTGGTACGCTTTGAGAGAAGTGCTTGGTGGGACGGAGGCACTAAGGCACCAGGGAAACATGGAGGGTTAGGGACACATGCAAAAGGGCCAGGTGGTTCTGGGAGCAGGCTGGTCAGACCTGCTTGATAACACAGGCCTGGGTATCCCAGGGGGACCTCCAGCTACTAGAAGGGAGCCCCTGGCACCCTGGGCTCTTCCTAGCCGCTGTCTAAACTTGTCACCTGGTCCTTGCCAGTTCTTGGTTTCCTTGCCTAGCCCTCCTGCCTCAGCCTCCCCAGAACCACTTTGGACAGCCCAGACACAGGACCCTGGGCCTCACAGCCCTGACCATGTGTCTGGCATTGACATTCAGACGCTTGAATGACAGAACCAGCTGTCAGACGACTGAGCAGTGCTCCCCCTTTCCTGAGCCTGCCTCTCCCATCCTGGTGACCTTGGGGCTTCTGTACTGGGAGAGATTCAGGCTCAGACTGTTGCCACATTGCCTGGATTTGAAAAGAAACTTTCTTTTTCTTTTACATTTTAGAGTTTTGGGTTTGGAATAAATCTTATGATCTAAGTGTTCATTCAAGGAGGTAATTTTTTTTTCTCTCTCTAAAAGGCTGTTATTAAATTGATGGATGGTGTGTCTTACAATTGCTGGCATCTTAAAACTGAGGAAATTCAGCAATTGGAGCCTGGGTGTTTGTGGAGCTAAGCTGACTGAGAACTACTGTTGCCTTCCAAAAGCAATTACCTTCCTGTCTTAGGGATGTGCCACCTCTGCAGCAAAGCCGAGCTCATTCTGGGAATAGAGAGAGCTGCTGGGCACAGGGAGCTGTGGGGAAGGGAGGTCCTACAGACCCTGCAAAGACAACCAGGTGGCCTCCTAGCCCAGTCCTCAGCGAGGTCAAGGAACAACCCATTACCTATGAGCAGCCATCATGGCTAGACTGTAGCCTCTAAACACCATTTTCCCCCAAGAGGAATTGGGGCTTTTGGGGGAAATGGCTGCATCCAGGTCTGGGCCAAGAAACGGACAAAATGAGCCTGGAACTTCCCGTCCCATCAGAAGGAAGGAAGCTGTCATAGGCCATTATATTAAAAAGACTTAGATGGGCTGGGGGTGCAGCTCAGTGTAGTATCTGCCTAGCAGATGCAGGTTCAATCCCCAGCACCACAAACAAACAACAACAACAAATATACATAGAGATAAGTCTATCTATTATCTCTATCTATCTATCTATTACCTATCTATTATCTATCTATCTACCTATTTATTATCTATCTATCATCTATCTGTCTATCTATCTATCTATCTATCTATCTATCTATCTATCTATCATCTATCTATCTATTATCTATCTCAACATGTGAAAGGTTGGGGGCTCCCAGTGACCAAGAGGGGACAATCTGAGGATCAAGGATAAAAACAGTGATGGACTGAGTCCTTTCAAACCCTACAGCATGACTAAATCCACAGAATCTTACAATGATTCTCTAAAACATTAAATGTTTTCATTCTGACACCTTATTAAAACTGGGGAAGAACTGAACGTGGAGGCTGCCCTTCCTCTCCTGTTAGAATATTAGAAGCATGCCATAGAGTAACCAAACACAGGAGGAAAACCCTCCCTACTGCATTCATGTCAGCCAGTAAATGAAAAGGATGAGGGGATGGAATATCACCAGCTCGTACCCTGATGGCTGAATAAAACAGAGGCTGAGGGTGGCTGCCACTGCTGTTACCAAGAACTTGAAAAGAAGACAGCACGCATGAGTGACAGTCAAACTCAGTGGCTTCCGCATAGATGCCTTGCCCCAGTGGCCTCTAGATGGAACTAACAACTTCCCAGAAATAGAGGGGGTCAAGGGACAGGTGAAACACCACCACTGGGATGTAAGCAGTGAAGTCCTGACTCCACTGGGCAAAAACCCTGCTTCCTTCAACACATAACTCATAAGGAAAATGAGAAAGATTGATGGGGAGACCTCTTAGCCAGTAGCATGCACAGATCTCATCTGGAGTTTTGGTTTTCATTTGTTTTTTGATGGTAATGGGGTGTGAACTGAGGGCCTCATACTTGTTAGGCAGGTGTTCTGCCCTCCGCCCTTTTGTTTCAGTTGTTTTGCAGATAGGGTGTCACATTTTTGCCCAGGCTGGCCTCAAACTGCAATCTTCCTACATGTGCCTCCTGCATATCTGGAATTACAGGTACATACCACCACACCTGCCTGTTGGTTGAGCTGGGGTCTTGCTAACTTTTTGCCCTGGCTGTTCTTGAACCACAATCCTCCCAATCATCATCTGGTGAGTAGCTGGAATTACAGAAGTGAATCACTGTGTGCAGACACCCTCCAGGTTTTAGCCATGGGAACTGTCATCCCATCCTACTGACAAGGAAACCAGGGTGGAGGAGATGCAGAGGCCAGTGGTTAGGGCTGAGATGCTGGCATCCCACAGGCATTCAGACCAGGCCTGTTACTTAGCAAGCCTGTGGCCTCTGAGCACTTTCTAAGTTCGGTGTCCTCATCTGTGAAATAGGGGAGGTGATGGTGCTCCTTTTTATAGGCCTTGGTGAGTATCTGTAACCGGCCAGCACAGCCCAGGGCCTGGAGCCAATGAAGCCTCAAAACTGGCATTTATATTGTCGTTATTGTTACTGTCATTGCTATTATTATTGGATAGGTGAGGTAACTTAATAGGTGGCAGAGGACAGAGGCAGGATTTGAACTCCAGCCTTTGGACTCTCCTGGACTCCTCCAGTTCACACCTACAGGCAGCACTCAGGCCCCACACTGTCCAGAGCACAGAATGAGCTCTGTCTGTGGCTTATAGGTCCTTGGGTATGGATGTGAGAGGTGAGGCTTGTCCTTCACTGATGTAGCCCAACCTTGGTTCATGGAATCTGACAAACGTGGGGGCAGTGTGGCCAGGGCCAGCGCAGAGTCCTCCCTGGCCAGCACCTCTGAGGTCATGGAGGAGGCCTGGGGTACAATGGTCTTCAGACAGCTACTGTGTGCAGCACCATGCTGAGTGAGGTAGAGAAGACCAACCAGTGTGCGCCTGGCTGGGACCCCTGCCTAGCTCTAGCTATGTAGCCCCGGGTGGGGCATCTCTCTCTCCTGAGCCTGAGTTTTCCTGTGGCCACGTGACCTCACAGACAGGGTGCTGGGGCAGGCTACATGTGGGACCTGGTGCTGTTGTCTGATATCCAAGATGCAGGATGGCCCTGGTTCCTAGCTGTCCTCAGAGTCAAGCTCCTGGCAGACACTCACTTGTCCAGGGTCCGGGAGTCGTCCGTGTACTCGGGGAGGTCATTTAGGTCTCTGGGGGAGGCTGACAGCTGGTGCAGGTGGATGGGCAGAGCCTGGCCGTCCCTGCCCACCACTTCCAGGCCAGTGAGTCCCAGGTAATGCTGGTCTCCCCAGGAGGCAGTGAAGTTTAGCCGAAGGCCTGTGACAGGAGGAAAGGGGCCAGTCAACACCAGAGGCTGGAGAGAAAGTGGAAGGTGCAGACAGGAAGAGAAACAGCTTCAGCTTCTGCATTCTCCCAAAACAAACCCGGACTCACCCCGCCTCTGTCCTCTCAGTGGCCCTCAGGACCAGGCCATGGCTGAGGCTGAGGACATGTCACAGGCTGAACAGACTAGTGTTGCTTAAACCTACAACATGTCCCAGGTCATGTCACCATACCCACATTAACACCCTTACATGGCTGGCCTTCTCGCATGCTTCTACCACTTTCCCAGCCTCATTGGGCACCAGGGATCCTCAGCTCTACCCAGACAGCCACTCATAGTTCCATTCCCCTCTTCTACCACAGGGCATTTGCATGTGTTGCTCACTCCTTCTGGGATCCCTTCAGATCTCAGCTCCCTTCTCTCGACTTCTCTGGCCAGGTCAAACCTCCATTCACAGCCTGCTACACCACTGTGCACCTCCTCTTCTAAGCCCCAGTGGCCACTGTGATTTCTGATTATTTGGTAAATATCTATCTGCTCTGCTGGAGGGGTAGTAATTCCTTCAGGGAGAAATGCCACCATCTGTTTTTCTAGAGCACCATGTTGAGTCCCCAGATTCTGGCAGAGTGCCTGGCAAACACTGGGACTCAGTGCAGACAAATGATCGCAGGTAACTAGACAGGCCAGTTATATCAGTGAGTTCCAAGTCTGGGAAACTGATGCCATGCACATTGGCTCCTATCATTAGCATTGACAAGGATCAGGGTAAAGGGAGTGGGCTCTGGCGACACATGCATCCTGTCCCCTGCACTTGCCCCCACTCCATCAGAGCCCACTTAGAGGTGACCTTCATGGGTCGGGGGCAAACAGGCCAGATGACTCATTCTTGTGCGCAGAAAGCTCAGGCTGGATGAATCCTTTGGTCTCGCCCTGTCACATATGTGGCTGGAACTTCTTCTTGGCCTCCCATGAGAGCAGGCTCAGGCCCAGGAGCTGTCCCACCCTGAGAGAATTTGTGGCCTATTTTCACACTTTTGAGTGACTGAGTTCAAAAGGCTCAAGCTCTTGGCGACGTTTGCAGAACACAAGTGCTGCCAAGATGGCAGAGGGAGCTGGTGTCATCCTACCCCCTCCTGGTTCTGCTTAGAGGACCCACAAGCCCAGAAGAGGTCACAGGATGTCCTCCGACCAGGCTGCATCCCTTCACCTCCTTGAGCTTGGCAACCTGTCCGGCACCCTGGGCCTCCCAGCAGCCTTTTTGTGCCTCAGCCCTTCTGTTCCTCATGGTGCCAAGGTTGCTGTGAGCATAGGCATGGCCTGCAGGATGCGGCACTGGCAGTGACATTATGGCTGTCTGTGCCTCCCACCCGGGTCCTTGACTCTCACCATATGCAGAGGTGGCAGCTACCTCTCTTCCCTGAGTCTGGGCTGTGCGACTCACTCTGGCCACAGGATAGGAGCAAATGCTAGGTAAGCAGAGCTGAAAGGCATGTGTATGCTGGGGTCTGTCCTTTCTTTCTTTCCTTTTTGGTGGTACTGAGGTTTGAACTCAGGGTAGCTACTTGAACTATGCCTCCCGCCCCTCAGCCCTGTTGCTTTAGTTTATTTTTCAGATAGGATCTCATTCTTTTGCTTGGGCCGTCCTTAGACTGTGATCTTTCTACTCCTCCCTCCTATATAGCTGGGATTACAGGCATGTACCACCATGCCTGGCACTATTCTCTCTTTCTACACTTTAAGTCTTAAGACTGCCTGGGAAGGAGAGGACTAACCTAATGACCTGTTACTCTGAAGAGCTTCCTAATTGCTGGACATGTGGGTAAAGATTCTAGACCACCTGTCAGCTGAGAACTTCCCAGTTAAGCCACAGAATCATGAGCCACTTATGAATAAAGGGTGCTATATTAAGCCACTAACTCTTGGGCTGGTTGTTCCACAGCAGAAGCTGTCTGATACATTCCATCCCCTGACTATGTTTACATGACACTTCCTGGAGCCCTTCCCTAGTAACCTGAGCTGAGGTAGTGCTCTGTCACTCTCTATGCCCTTACCCTGCTTGCTGTCTTGTTCGCAGCCCTTAATATACCTGACCAAGTATTCTACATTTATTCTACATTGATTTCCACCAGTTTCCCAAGTGAAATGGAGGCTCTGTGGTTCTGTTCACGGTTCCATCCCAGAGCCTAAAATGACAAATAGATGCTCAATAAAGCTTTTTTTTTTTTTTTTAAAAGCATGATTGATTGAAAATAGGTGTTCAGCAGATGTCTGAAAGCAGAGGAGGCAAAATAAAGCTACCAGGTCTCATCAAACTCATAGTGAATGTAAACAAGTGTCTGTTAATCACTGGCAATGGATGTGGCTAGACCCTGTTTGGGGCACTGACAATGCAGGGATAAGAAACACAGGGAAATCTCTAAGCTCAAGGGGCTTACAACTCTTCCAAGGCAGTCAACAAACACTGAACAGATGAGAAACACCACAGCTCTAGAGAGAATGGTCGCTAGGAGCAGAACAAAGGAGCGGTAACATTGACATAGGAGTGGGGTGGTCAGGGATGGCCTGCCAGGGTAGGTGACATTTAAACTGGGGCTTTCATGTTGACAAGGTACCTGTGAGACTTTTGCATTTCTGGAAGAACAGTCTAGACCAAGAGGAGAACAGGGTTGACCCATACTGGAGGCAAGTAGTCAAGGGAGCAGAGCAAAGTGCGATGAGAAGGTGGGGCAGTGGCGGGTCTCATGGAGGAGTCTGGATGGTCCCCACTTCACTGGGAAGCTCCTGGCAGGCTACCTTTTTTATATTGTTTTGTTTTGTGATTTTGGGACAGGATCTCATTGTGAAGCTCAGGCTGGGATGGATCTTGAGATCCCCGTCTCTGCCTCCTGAACGCTGGGACTACAGGCATGTGCCATCATGCCTGGCTTAGGCATCCTCTGTTTTTAAGCAGTGGGGTGACTGATGAGGTTTGATTTGCACCTTGGAAAGTACTCATCCAGTGGACCATGCAGAGTGATGTGGTGCTGACGGGGGCCTGATGAGGGTGGCCTTGGTGAGAACAGAAGAAGTGAATGGATTCATGACCTATTTGGGAGGCAATATTGCCTCTAATGGCCTGGCTAAGGGAGGGGTGGGAGAGATGTTTTTAACCTAGGGATCAGGAATTGTAAGGATGGTTCCTGGGATGCAGAGGCCTGGGGAAGGAGGGGGTGTGGATTTAAATGGGCCCACTGCTCCCCATTGTGAAAACAAACAGCATGGGTCCCAGCCTCTCTCAGCGAACAGTTTCTGCATCCTGGCGAGCTGCACCATTCCATGGATTCCACCATTGCCTAGGAAGGTGATACTGATGCCTGCATTCCATATTCATTTTCCTCAGGAGCATCAATTAGTATTTATACAAATGGAAATTAATTTTGTTACTTCTTTCCCATGTTTCAACCTCCTCTGCTCCTTTCCTAATTCATTTTGCAAAACGTCCAGAATTTGTATCCTCTGCAAATTAGCAAGTCATACACTCTCTTCCAAAGCATTGATAGGCTTGGCCATGTTACCAACCCCTGTGCATTCCCGAGCTCCTTTGTTCAACTCTCTCCATTTGTACAGGCTGGTGAGGCAGGTGGAGGACTTAGGACACAGTAGGGTAGGGGGTGGCAGAGTGAGGAAAGAGGTGAAAATCCCAGGCTTCCACATGTGCTCAACATGCAGAAGGGGCCCAGTGGGGGGCCTTTCTCCTAGGAGAGGCTAGGGAGTTACTGTCCTCGCAGGGTGAAGGTCTCTGAATTCCACCCCAGGGTAAAATTCCCCGAGGCATTCTCTGAGAAAGGTCAGGAGCTGCTTCAGAAGAAGAGACATTCACACAGCATCATGGGAGAAATCAGCAGACAGAGGGGACAGTGGCCACTTCTGCCTGGGACTCTGACCTCCAGGGAACTATCCTAGTTCTGCCCATGCTGTTTGGGGGGCCCGACCCTCACTCTAAGCTGCAGGGCTGGTGGGTGATTGCACGTGGGACAACTGTGGTTTTCATCCCCTCTCTCTCTCCCCTGTGGTAATTGGTTGATGCAATGGACACGTGACCACTGCCAGACCGAGACTGAATACCTGTTGGACCTACTGGGACACAGAAGTTCCCTCTTACTTGGGGTTGCCAGATGGAGGTGTGAACCCAGAGCTCCCAGATGTTCCTGCCTGTGCTGCCTGAGTGGAGGACAGGGGAGGGAAATAGGCAGAGAGGTGGAGACACAGGGTGTGTCTGGATCCAACTGTGTGAATGACTAGTGACCCCAAACTTTTTAGTTGCACAAGCCAAATGAATTTGCCTTTTTCAATTTCTATTGATAATATATTAAAAAAAAAAAAGAATCCTGACCAATGTTGGGGAGAGCCAACTAAGAAACGTCTGCTGTCTTGTGGGAGCTCACAGCTTCATGGGGATGCCTACCAAGGCACAGAGACCTTGGCTGAGAGGTGACCTCTCACCAAGAGCCAGAAGGCAGTGTGGGGTGTGGTGGGCACATGGGCTTTGGGGTCAGATGTCTTAGTTCCATTCCCTGCCTTGGTACTGGTTGTATGACCTTACATGGGTCACCCTAGCTCTCTGGGCCTCAGAGGCTTTGTCTAACATGGAAAATGCGTGTGGCAATAAAAGTGGGAGTGCTCGGTGAGGTGAGGCCAGGAAAACTCCAGACTGCCTCAATGAGGAGTGAAGCCACTTCAGTGTGCGTCCTCACCTAACATTAGGTTGACTTTTATATTATGTAAGTTTTTTTTTTTTTTTAAGACAGGTCTCAATATGTAGCTGAGGATGGCCTTGAACTCTGCACTCTCCTATCTTAGCCTCTGAGTGTTGGGATTACAGCTGTGTACATCTATGCTCAGCATCAGGTTGGCTCCTTTAACTAGTGTGTTATTCTAAAGTAATTCAGAGTGACTTGGAAAGTAAGAGGCTGTGAGGATTCAAAGTAAGTCACCTTCCTTCCCCCGAGATAAGCCATCCTTTTGGTGTGGGTGTTGGGGGAGAGATATCTTCCCTGAGGACTGGAGGAAAATCTTCATAGAGAGGAGCTGGCTGTAGAGGGCAAGGGGGTACACACACACTTAGGTGCTGCCCAGACCTCTCTTATCCCAGGACTGAGGGCTGGGAGTGTTGACAGTTGAGGTTCACTGTCAACTGCCCTGCTTGTTACCCTCCTGGGTTGATGTGTCTCTCTATAGATCACACCCTCCCCAGGGGCAGCACAGATTCAGTGACATGGGGACACAGGTTTATAAAGACCTGGCCTGTCATTTGGCTCAAGGCAACTCCAAAGGCCACCCCAGCTTCTGCACTCCCCGTGGAGCTGGCTGAGGCCTCAATGTGGCTGCCCTAACTTTACCCTCTGCCCAGGCCTCTGGTGCAGGTCCCAAGTGCAGCCTAGTCATCTGCCCTCAGAGCTGGCTTCTTGGGATCCCACTGGGCACTGGGCAGGCTGGGCAGGAGAGGGAAGCAGCCTGGGTCCCGGAGGGCTGGAGGCAGGGAGATGTGGGACCACATGCTGGAGAGGACAGGGTAGGGCAGGGATAATGATAGCTCTCATTTTCAAGAGATAAGTTGTAAGTAGTGACATATACACAGTGGGCAGCTAGAGCCTGATAACAAGGTCCAGTACAGGGAGATCACAGTTAGCTGAGACCTTGGCCTAAAGACTCCCAGAGGGTAGAGGGGCTGGCAGGGATAGGCATGGATTAGAGTAGTTGGCTGGAATGGTAAATGAGGAAAAAGAGATGAACAGGGGCCCAGATGAGACTTTGCTCAGGGTCACAGCTAGCTGCTGCTGGCCTGATACAGGATGTACCTTATTTGGCTTACACAGTATTTTAAAACACTATAAAATTAGTTAACATTTAAGAATCTGGAGTTTATACAAAAGACCTTGAGAAGTCTGAGAGCTTGGTAAACTGAGCCTGCCCCTGCTCCCCTAATCCCAGCACAGGAAGGCCACAGGCCTGCCTTGCTCATGTGTCTTCTCTGTGGCTCAATTTAAAAGGCAGCACTGACTGCTGCCTGGGTCCCCTCTGGCTCCCATGCCCTCTTCTTCTACACTTTCTATGATTCAGCTGCAGCCTCCTGGGTCAGACTTCAGTGTGGTCAACACAGGGTGTGTGTGCACAAAATGTGACAATGCCCCTTGGGGAAGGCACGTGCAAGGAGGTGTCCCCCGCTGGAAGTAGGCAGCCCTGCCAGGACTGGTGAGCAGAGTAGAGGTCTGTTCCAGCCCCAACTCATCCCATGGCCTGGTGTCTCTGTGTAGGGGGCAACCTGCCCAACTGTCCAAGGAAACCCTGCCCCACGTGGCCAAAATGGCCTCCTTCCATCTGACACCCCAGAGGAGGATACTCACAGATCCCATGGTATATGCCGGGCTCTGGCGTGGTGACTTCAGGGACCAGGGGACTGGGTGGCAGCTCCAGCCCTGGGGTCTGCAAGGTAGGTGGGGAAGAAGCAGAGGGAGAGCAGGGGGATTTAGTGATGCCCACAGAACTGGCCATACTCGCCTGCCCAGATGCCAAACCCACCCACCCTGTGGAGGTGGGTGGGGGGAGGAAGGAGTCACAGCATAGGGAGTGGTTCTCAACCTTTCCTGGCCACTGAACTAGCATCTCAAGGGCGGGGTCTAGCCATCTGATTTCTAACAGCGCTGGGTACTGACAATCGAAATGGGCCACCACACCCTCATTCTTGGGTCTTGTGTAAGCTTTGCTCACTATTAATTTCTTTGTACCATAAGTCAGGGCAAAAGTGCCTCCAGTCCTCCATGGACCAGTGAGCCAAGATGCAAAAGGTAGTCACATGGCTGGTCTTCTATAGGATGGTTCTCCTTCCATACTTGGAGGGTTGGGCCCATACAGAATCCTTTACAGGGAACTTTCTTGTTTGGAAACTGCTAGGCAAATGAAGGACCTCAAAGTAAACTCCCACGGGACACCCATGCATCAAATGTAGACCATGGCACTTTGGAAGACACTTAACTTCATTGCCAAAAAAGCCCAGATCTTTGGCTTCTCTTGAAAAGAGCAGAATGACAACGGGTGAAAACTGTCACCCAGGTGGGGTGACAGGTTGCTGTTTTAACGAGGGAGGGCCGTACCCCAGTGACCTGCATCCTTAACCCCTTCCATCTGCCCCATGCTCTGCTGGCCCTGCTGCGGACAGCCCCAGAGTGCTGTGGAGTCAGCATGCCACCAGCTACCCTGCCTTGGTCACAACCTTCCCACAGACCTTTCCACAGCCTGTGGTTCCCTTCTCTTAACACCTCCTTTGTCCTCATGGTGGCAAGAATATTGCTAGAGGCCCTGAGGGCTCTTCATGTTGAAGACTTGGTCCTTGATTTGGACTGACCACACTGCCCTGAAGGTCATCTTTCATTTTCTAAAAAATGTGTTTATTGATGAAAAGCACAAGTTTTGGAGTCAGTAATTCATATTCTAGCCTCCATGCTCTTCATGTTGTGCCCTGGGCTATCACTTTGTCTGTCTGGTGCTGGTGTCATCACTGGGAAGATGAACAATCTGTACTTATGGGTCATGGTGGTGGTGAAAGCACAACAGCACATGGCACTCCACTGGGGGTCATGGCACCCGCTCAAGCAACCTCAGCTGTGCTGATCATTGCTTTAATTGTAAGGTGCCTATAAGAGGTATTTCTAGCCCTTCCATCAAAAACAACACTGAGAGATCAGAACATAACCCAGAGGAAAAATTCCAACTTCTGAATTATACAGATGATACACAGCTGATTTCTCTTGGCTTTGATTAAAATTTGAATACTTTCTTCACTTCGTTTAGAAAAATAATTAGAGAATGAAATATGACATACGGGACAAAAAACGAAGTAGAAAAATGGGGGATGTCAAGACAGTAGCCCCAGCAGCTTAAAGGAGATCCATCTTAATTCTTCCCTCTCTGCTCCGAGTTAGCAGCAGAATCCACTTGCCCTGCTCCCCGCTCCTGGCTCCAGTCCTACCATGTCATCGGCACTGGAGCCGGCCTGGGTGAAGGGCCGTTCGTGGCCCTCGCTGTCGGTTGTGCTGGGCCTCCTCAGAGCCTCCCCGAGCTGCAGGCTACACAGGCTCTCCACATCCACGTTGAACATCTCATCAGAACAGAAGATGGCCTCCAGGATGTCCTCATCAGTCGTGAATAAGATGGTGTCTCCAAAGTGCTCTGGGGCTGCGGGTGTTACCAGGAGGACAGAAAGGTCAACTCTCCATGCCCCAGGGATTTTAACATGCAGAGCCCAAAGCCATCAACCAGTGTGCCCAGCCATCCCCAAGTCACCAACAGCTCCTGATCTGGGTACAGATCCTCACAAATGTGCAAATCTCTGTGATCTGTCACCAGGCGAGTGACATCTCTTCTTGGGTGGGTGGTACCATATCTGATCCCTGCAGATTCTATTTCTGTAGTGCGTGGGTTGGCAGGGGATCCCATCCCCTTCCTTCCTGGGAGCTGGGTTCCAATGACTGGCTGACCTACCAGGTTCCTTGCCTTTAGGCGGGAAAGAACTTTCAGTTTTTGTATGGTCCAGAACTCCCATAAGATGGGGATGAAGATGGGCTTCCCCTGAAACTATATCCTTCCCAGCCCTCACTGGCCCACGCTTCACTAAAAGCCCCCCTCAACTTCAGATTTGGGGTCTAGCACCATGACTAAGACTGGCCCTCAGTGGAAGAGTGTGAACGGGATCAGCGCTACGTACCATGTTGTAAGAGGTGGGGGCGGGGGTGGACTAGGTCTAGGGGAGGAGGCCCTATCTATCATGCGGGGCCAGCCTGTGGGTTTATTTTTCTCCTTCACAGCATCAGTGAGCAGCAGAGAGGGGCTTTGAGAACATTCCCACAGATTTGCCATACCTCCGGTCAGGGTTCCCAAGGCCTTGGCAATCTCCCCTTCAAAGATGCGCTGTGCGTCTAACAGCATGGTGATGTCCTTCACACCGCGGAAGGAGTGGATCCGGGATTTATTGTAATTCCAAATCCTGATCAGGGCAACCTGGCAAGGGTGCGCGAAGTCAATGGAGATGGAGTGGGACTTGCCGGGTGTGAAGGGGGCCAGCCAGACGTGCATGTCATCCTGGGTCCTGTTCACCCCATCAATGAGGTTGGTGACCACTCGGGGGTCCTTCCCATAAGCTGGCAAGATGTTGATGTCGGGAGGCTCTGCTTTAATGTTTGCAATTTGCACTGGCTCCCCCTTCGAACTGAATATCTCTATTCCATTCAGGCCAACATAGTGTCTGTCCCCCCATGTAGACTTGATGTCAATAACCAAGTGCTGCCCATAAGGCAAGACAGGGATTTTAAAGTCATCGCTGATGTCTTTCTCTCCAGAGCAGTCACCCTGCCCTTGTGATGGCTCTGCCTCCAGCTCCTCTTCCCTCCAGGAGGGCGGCTGGTCGCTGAGCCGGCTGCCCCTCTGCTGCTGCAGGAACTCGTCCAGGATGTCCCCCTGAAACTCCAGGTTGGAGATGCGGCCTCGGTGGGAACGATCAAAGGCACTGAGAGAGTCCCACGACTCGTGCAGCGTGTACTCCTGCTCACTGCGCCACCATGGGCGTGGTGATGTCCTGGTGGCCAGGGTGTCTTCTAAAAAGAGGACACAGGGGGGTGACATCCTGTCAGCGGCACATGAGGAAGTAGGGACCCTTAGAGACCGTCAGGTGGATGGTCCCAAAAGCAGAGGGGCTGCCATGGCTATGTCCCTGCCTGAGAAGCCCTCCTGTCACCTGAGGGACAGGCCAGCAATGTCAACAGCCTGCACTGCATGGGATGGCCCAGCACAGAGCATGCTCTCCTGTGCCATGCAGCCTTTGACTGTGCTGCTAGATGTCTGGGTTGGCAGAAATTTGTTTATGATCACCCAAGTCTAGACTCTTGTATTTTTAAGACTTTGAACTTTGTAAGAATGCAACTATCATGTAGATCAAGGGAATGCTGTGCCTTGGTTTGGCCCATGTTGAAGGCTTGGCCCCCAACCTGTGGTGCTATTATGAGGAGGTGGATCCTTCAGGAGGAAGTTAGGTCATGGGGGCATGCCCTCAAGGGGTTATCAAGACCCTGGACCCAGCTCTTCCTCTCTGTTTCTCAGCTACCACCAGGTGAATATCTTCTTCCACCACATGCTCCTGCTATGATGTGCTGCTGGCCACAGGGCCAACCAACCCTGGATGATAAACCTTTCCTCCTTAATCTCAGTGACTGAAAGCTAACCCAGGAAGATTACTGTATCATGTTAAAAACTCTGTCAGATGTCATCCCACTTAGAAGCTTCCATGGCCAGGGCAAGGCCACTGCCTGGGGGGCCTGAGTCAGCAACATGAGCCCAAAGACTATTTGACAGCAGGTGGAAGGTTCATAAAAGAATGTTAAAGCCAGCAGCAGTGGTGGCACAGGCCTGTAACTCCATCACTTGGGAGATAGAAGCAGGAGGATTGAGAGTTTAAGGCCAATCTGAGCTGCGTAGCAAGACCCTGTCTCAAAAAACCAAGGGCTAAGGGTGTAGCTCAGTGGTATGGCACTTGCCTACTGTGTGCAAGACCCTGGGTTGGATCCTCAGCACCACACACACATGGGAAAGGGGAGAAATGCCAGAAGATGAAGTGTGTCCTAGCATGGATGACATATACCAGCATGTGCACAGTGGTCATTTCTGGGTGGTAAACAGGCCTTCCTATTTACTTTAATTTTCTTCTTTGTAACGTTATGTCCTAAATTCCTTACATTTATTACTTTTAGAATCAGGGGAAGATGTTAGTAAAAGAGCCAACAAGGGGGGAGGATCACAAGTTTGAGGCCAGTCTGGTCTACATAGCCAGACCCAGGTATGTTGCAGGATAAGGGCTCTGCCTACTTCTATGTGTGGCTGAAGCCTGTATCCTCGGCACGTGGAGAGTCAGGCCAGCCCTCTGAGGGACGCTCTGAAGGCACTGGGCTCCTGACAGAGTCTAAAAGCCCCAGTGTGAGTGTCAGGCAGTGGCTGGTCCTGGTGGCCAAGTCACACAAACCATCATCTAAAAGGTGTTACTCTAAAAAACAACAAACCATCAGCTGGTGACACTGTTTTTCCCTTCATAGCATGCTGTGCCCTGCACTCCATTTTCTGCATGTCTCCTGGTGGGCTGGGCTCCATCAATTATCTCCTCTCCTTAGAGTCTTCAATCACTCCTTCCTGGGCACTTCCCCTCGCTGCCACTGCTGGCAGACAGGACATAAATCTCTCCTGCTGAGAAGTGCAGGAAGGAAACAGAAACTGCCTTGATCCTGCCTCTCCCTGCCGCCCTGCTCCCCTCTTCTGTAACACAGCTCTCCACAGCCTCTCTCACCTCCCTGGGCTCCTCTTTGTGGAGGTATTGCTTTGTCCACCTCCTCTGGGCTTCCCCTTTTTGCCTTGCCTGTGGATAGCCCTACCCTCAGGCCAGCACAGTGGGTGACCACTGACCACATCCGTCCATGCTGAGCTCAGAGAGTGGCTCTCCTTAAAGTGCCTGACTAGGCTGGTAGGATGTGGAGTTACCAGGACCCACTTTGCTAAGCTCTTTGGAGGATCTACCTGAGAATGAAGCCACCATGGGGAACACAATCCTGGAGACTGAGAAAAAGACTGAGTGACATTTACTCCTTTTTACTTTATTTTATTTTTTTGAGACAGGGTTTCGATAAGTAGCCCAGGGTAGTCTCTAACTTGGGCTCCTCCTGCCTTGGCCTCCTGAGTGCTGGGATTACAGGTATGTACTACTATACCCATCTCTAATGATATTCTTTGTGCTCCTGGATCCAGCCATGCCTGAAGCCAAACCCCTAGAGGCTTACCTCCCTTTGTATTCATTAATCCTACAATTCCCAGAACTCTCAACTGACATGACTTTCTCCATGGCTCCCCAATCTTTTCTCAGTCTTCATTTCATGCTTGGTCTCCCAGGCAAACCTTTTCCATTTGATATTTCCCCTTCTACTGGTTTAGGAGACCCACATCTCCCGCTCTCCACTTCTCTTCTCAGCAGCATCTCTATCCATCACATCACTGTGCCATCCCCTTTGACTGGGGTGCCCAGGCCCTGGGCCTCAGCCCCAACTGGTCCTGTCCTGATGTGTGGTCACTCTAGGCTGTGTCCTGGCTCCCACCTAGGCAGCTGCTCAACTCTGGACATCATATGATGACTTTTTGTTTTGGCTAGCATCCTCTAATTCCAATCACTGCTTGAAAAGTCCAGACAAATCGCTGTCACTTCAACCCCCATGTGACTACAGCAGGGATGGTCACTAACCCCTCTAGTGGGCACTGTCTCTCCTATGCCAAGAATAAAGAGTGCCTATTGTTCACTGTGTCCCCAGGTCCCTCTGTGGCCCCTGCTGGAATCTGCAACCTCTTCCTCCCCTGTGGTCATTCTGCTCGCTTGTCACACTGGCTCTGCTCTTTAGGGACACCCTGTCCCTCCTTGCCTGGGGCTTATCTTCTGCTCAGAGCATTCCTCCTTCAGATGACCCTCTTTGGACGGCCCCTCTCTGTCCCCCTGGTCCTGGCTCCCTGCAGTGCCCAGTGCCTCACACAGCAGTTAGAAACACTTGCAATGTGTTTTCTGGTAAAGGGAGGGGCTGCTGACACTGTTTCTGGCCACCCTCATGCCCCAGGATCAGGCCTGGAGGCCAAGGGATGCCCCCTCCACCTGCTGGCTCTCCTTTGTCTGCCCCCTCTTCTTATCTGCTGTTTACAGACAGCTCAGAAGTTCCCAGGCTCTCTCTTCCCAGGTGAGGTGTGACACCTGGCAGAGGGAGCACCCCCTATAGGCAGTTATAACTTGAGTTTATGTGGTTTCATTTCTACTGACTGAAAGGAAGAGCCAAACTTGGTTTGCAGAGTGTATGAGGGAGAGACAGCACTAGAGCTGAGTGTCAGGGATAGCCTGTATGCCTCTTTCTGTGGGAGCAAACCAGGCAGTGACTTGGCAGTCCTCCTGTGTATTCCATTCAACACTCCTTCCTCAGATGTACGTGGGTCAGAAGCAGAAAAGCGTGGGCTTTCTCCAGGACCTTGCACGAGACAACTGCTGGGACCTGAGCTTCCACCTGCAGGGCACAGCCCCCTCTCTTTGGGGCTGGTGCTTGTCCTGTGGCTGCCTACATTCCATCCCAAATCTGGATGGGCAGCAGAAAGCTGTGGCTTCAATCTGCAGTCCACATGGTCTGCAGAGAACAAAAAGCTGACATGGTGGAATCCAAGATTCCAAACTACTACTGGGTGGAGTTGAACAGGGGCTACAAAGCTCTGAAGTGAGTCTATGAAAATTGACTGCACCACTACCAGGTGTGTGTTAATTGCCCATAACACAGGAACAGTGAACCATGCTCAGCCATTGCTGATTGGACAAGGAGTGGCCACCTGATCCAAAGAGGCCAGTTAGCCTCTGGGTCCCTGAGACTATATGGAGTGGTTGCTAGAGCCAGGGCTGTAAAGGCTACGAGCTGAGAAAGCTGATCTCATGAAGAACAGGAGGCTAAGTGGGCCTGCAAGGAGGCAAAGGCAGTCCCAGCAGACCTGGAGGGACAGGGAGAAGATGCCACCTTTCTAGTTCCTCATTCCAGTCCCCTGTGAGGAGTGATTACTTTCTTGCTTGTGGGTGAGGTGTTCCTTGAACCTTCTGCAAATATTTACGCTCACACAGGGCTGATGAGATTTCATTCAATGTGACCAATGACCCCCTGCTGCAGAACTTCTGGAATGCAGCTGTCACTACAATGGGAATTCTGCTGGGCCACTAATTCCCAGGCTCTCTCTCAGTTACAGCACAACTGTGACCCCAGGGTGGAACTCGGCAGTCACTCCGAGTCCATGCACCCCACCAGTATGCTGGGGGTCTTGGCCTGTGCGTTTCCTGAAGGCCAGGCTAATGGGATTTGGCTCTGGGCAATGGGTAATTACAGTTTTCTAAGCAACTTTCCTCTTTAGCTTGACCAGCTTAACAAGCATTAAATCTCATGGGCTCCATACTTAACTTGTCATTGAGCTAAACAGTGAGACACCCGGAAAGAAATTAAAGTGAGACAAAGTCTTCTGAACTTGGGCAAGTTAGAGCAATGCCTGTTGCCTGAAATTCCCGAGGCTCTGAACATGGGTTACCAGATGGCTCAGAGTTGCCTGGCTTGCCCGGGGAACAGGGACAGGTGAGTAGTGGTATCAAGTATGGATGCCAGGGTTGCCACCTGGGCTCAATCCCACTCTGGCCTTCACTGGTTATGTGGCCCCAGGAGAGTTACTTAAACCTCTCATTTTTTTTTAATCTGTAAATGGGGCTGTCACAGGGCTTTAGGATCATATGGGTGAAGTGTTCTGCTTGGACCAGAGCCTGGTTAAGGGTAAGCAGGTCACTAACATAGCCATCACGACTTCTCCCATCACCTCCCCCTCACCCCCCAGCAGAAGACTCAACCTGAGCCAGACCCTGCCCTCAGAGGGCTCCTCCATTCTTCCCTTTCCTCTATACACTCCTTCCTGGTCCCCAGGTTCAGTGCTGAGTTCCCTAAGGAGCTGGGCAGCAGCTGTCTGTAAGGAGTCAGGGGGCAACCAGGGGGACAGAAAGGCTCTAAGAGCTTGAGGGATTTGCTCCCTCAAGCACGTGATAGGCAAGGGTCTAGCATACACCCACGAATATATTAGATGATCGTTTGATTCACTAAAAATACAAACTTGGGCTTTGCATATAGGTACATCACCAAAAGGCAGAACCAGGGCAGGTGCTAGGGGAAGGGGGAGTGCTAGAGGAGGGGGAGGAGGAGGAGAGGACAGCAGCAGCTGTCTTCTGCTGGGGCACTGTGTCAAATGCTCATTTGCTCTTCCTAGAGTTTCTATGGGTGTGATTAGCATCCTATTACAGATGAGGAAACCAATGTTCAGCGGGGTTTCAGTGCCTGCCCAGGGTGTGGGTGGGAGATGGGGGTCAGGTGGGAGTCTGACTCCAAGCCAGTGCTCCCGTGGGAAGCAGGGAAAAGGGCTAAATTCAGAGGATTCAGGGGTGGAAGCAGAAAGCAGGTCTGAGTGCTTCCTGGGTGGCACAGGACAGGATATGTGTGTGTGCTGGCGTCTTGGCTACTTCTGGGTGAACACTCTCCCCGAGCCAGGCTCTGTGTGACTCATTTAAAGTCACCACCTCATTTGTTCCTTTCGACACTGAGAATGGGAAGGATCTCCCTCCCACCTAACAGATGAAGACACAGAGACTCGGCTCAGAGAGCAGAGCACCTGGCTAGAGGGCCCAGATCTGCAAAAAGCAGAGCTAGGATGCAAATGGTTTTTCTCCAAGTTGCTATGCCCTACTTCTTCCCCAGAGCCAAATCAGAGTGAAAATGTGCAGATCCTCACCTGGACCCTCCTTCTCCAGTCAGGACTCTCTTAGAGATAGACCCGAGCATTCTTCCCCCTGAGGCCTGCCAACATATGTGCTTTTTTTTTTTTTTTTTAAAAACACATACAATGGTTTAAAAGTAATCACTATTAGTTGCCAATATTAAAAAGCAAGATAATTCCATATTCCTGGCTTTTCTTGAAAAAAGAGGAAAGGGGAGACCTGGCACACTGGCTCCTTCAAGTGGCCTTGTGGCCTGCAGTTTGTCACAGCCTTCTTCATGCCCTGTGGTCTTTCTGACACCCAGTCAAGCTTGATTGTGGTGTTTTCTAACAGTACAGGATCAGGTGACTAGAGTCTCAGACTCAGAGGTGTAATAACAAAGTCTAGGTTGGAAAGGCCGCATATTGCAAGAACAATGAGTCAAGGGATGTATCCACCAGCTTCAACTGGTAGCCATGACAAATCTACCAACAAGTTCAATGTGCAAAGAGCGCCGTGCCTTTTCACTCATTTATACTATACCCCTGGCCCTAGTTGAGAACCCCCTTGTTTTGCAGATAAGGAAACAACACTCAGGGAGCAAAGTTGTTTCATGCCTAAATAGAGGCACAGGGATGGTGGTACCCAAGTCAGACTGCTTCTTGGAGCTTACCTCTGTTGGCTGGCTGGTTGTCATCATGACAATTTCTGAAAGCATCCTTTCTTGAGCCCCTCCTCCCATTGGCAGGGCGCTCCTTGTTGGGGGGATGCTTGAAGATATCTAAGTCATCACTACAGACTTTGGCGGTCACCCTCTGGGGCTGCTCCCTGGCAATGACATTCCAGCTGGTCGTTCGCCCTTGCTCCCTCCGGTGACCTCTTCCCTCACCAGGCTCTCCAGCACCCTCACCAATGACATTGATGATGCCATCAGACGGGAGCCTACCCTTGTGGTCCAGTGGCTTCTCGGACTAAGCCATAAGGGTTTGGACTTCTTGTTCACTGGTTTCCTGCCTCTCCCTGTGGGAGAAGGCTGTAACCAGCACGGAGCTTTCCCAGGTGCCTCAGAGATTTTCCTGCCTGTGAGGTTTTCCAGTTGTTGGACCAGAGAAGGCTCCTCTTCCAGAGGGGGATGTTTCACAGGCGGGGAGGAGGAAGTGACACTGGGCACATTGCCCATTGAGGCAGGGGCTGCCAACAATCTTACATCTTCCTCTAACTTAGATAAACTGTCTTTCATGCAATTGGTGGAATTCATCCTTTCACCAAAGAAATTTCCTTGAGAAGAGATCTTGGCATTCACCAGAGCTTCAGCAGGCTGTGAGCTTCTGAGACCAAGGTTTTCGTCCCCATTCACACCAGCCACACTGGGGGTGGCACTGTCTGTACTTTCATTCTTCTCGTTCTGTAGGTCAGCTAGGATGGTATGACCAGTGGGAGCCTCTTCATCTCCTTTGTCTAACATGCCATCAAAGACGAGTCTTTTGTTGACATAAAACTTCACGTTTTTGGCACCGATGGCAAGGTCCTGGAAACACAAAATTTAACAAAATGAAGATGTGTGGCAATTGACTGACTATCAAACATTGGGAGGAAAAGATACCCCCAAAAGAGAAGGTGAAGTGCTGTGCCCTGAGGATGTTAAATAAAGCTCTGCCTCATTTCTGGATAGTGTTCATGCTCTATAAACCAGAGGACTTTCACAAAGAGGCGGCCTCAAACGCTGCCTGCATCATCATTACCTCCTGTTGAGACATCTGAAGTGGCCTGCTAATTGGTCTCACTGCTTCCTGTCTCTTGCTGCTTCAACCTCAACTTCACATTGCCACCAGAATTAATTCCTCCAGTCACTCCCTTTTGTGAAATCCTTCATGGCTCTTCACTGCCTAGAGCAGCGTTCTTTAAAGCTGGGTTCCTAGGGCAGCTGTAGCAGGAAAGCCTGGTGTGCATCAAATGCAGGCTCCCTGGCTCCACAAGTGTCTTGAAAACAGGGCCTGAGACAAGGACTTGGTGCAGGTAGCTGATACAGAGAGGAAGTGAGGGGAATAAGACAGGGCAGGAGGACCCCCATCCCCGCCCTGTGTTGGCCCACTCAAAGGCCAGGAGATGGAGTGCTTATCCCCTGTTAGTTGAAGGCTGCTCCTGGGTGTTGATCCCCTCACATGCCTAAGCTGAGCACTTCCCCCACAGACAGTCCAGCAAGCAGTGGAGGCACAGCACTGTCACCATACTGAAGACTGTCCAACTTCAGCTGCAGATGCAGTGAAAGAACAGCCAAGGGGATGTGGAGAGGTTGTCAAGCCACTGCCTCAATGTTGGTTTCTAGGACGTCCCTGCACCTGCCAAGTTTCCCAGAGGATTCCTTTGCAAAAGAAGGTGGGGGATACAGGCCAATGGGGTCAACTGCAACTCCCCCATCTTGACATACAGTGGTCTTCATCAAGGGGTCCCTTCTTCCCCAACACTTGTGCCCTGCCATGCAGGCATTCCACGCATCTCTGTTCATGTTTAAAACAAAATCATACCTTCTCCTGCAACTGGCCACCTGTTCCTTTCTCTCTGCAGCAAAACTCTCCCCCCACCAAGCTTTATCAAGGAATATAATGCGTAGCTCACATGATAAGCTATTCCTATTTACAGGGCACAATGTGATAAGCTTTCACAAGGGCTTGCGCCCATCTCCACACTCAAGGTAACAACCACGCCCACCACCCCCAAAGTTTCCTTCCACCCTTGGTAACCCCTCCTCCCCAATTTCTTCTCCCTGTCCCAGCCTCTCCCCTCCCCACACTCCCCTACCTGCCATCACTATAGATCGTGTACATCTGAGTTGTGTGAATCAAGTTGTCTTTCTTTTTATTACTGAGGAATATTTTACTTTACAGTTCCCCCCACCTCTGTGAGTTCTCTGTCACCTCTATAATGAGGCCCAGAGAGTGGCTGTCACTGCTGCTCCTTCTCCAATTGCCTCTTGACTCCTCCCATCTTGCCAAAGGACCATGCGCCAGGGTGATGGAGCACCCTTGTTTGTTTAGGAAGAGTCTGATTTACATTGGTGTCTGGTGGAATCACTAATAGAGCCCTCTTTTTGCTCTCAGAAGTCTCCTGGTAGGGACAATAAATGACAGAGACTGGCAGGATTGGAGTAGTCAGTAATTCCTCCTCCTTCCCTGGGCTTCCAGGGCTCTGCACCTGCATGGTTTTGCTCCTACTTGGTGGCTTCCCTAGTCCAGGCTCCTTGGCTGGGTCCCCTGGGGGTTCTGCTGGGCCGTGACTGGCTGGGCTGCTCCAGGGTTCAGTGCTGGGCATTTGAATTTATGTTCTTTCACCAGGTGGTCCTCAGGCCTGAGGCTCTGAGTGCCACCTGGTATGCATGAATCTGTATATTAACCCTGACCTCCCCATCAGCTCCAAGTGTCCAACTAACCCTCTCCTCCTGGGATCTACTAGGTATCTCAAGCTTGATATGCCCCAAACTGAATTCTTTACCACTTTCCCCAAACCTGGTCTTCTTTCCTCTTAGACACAGTTACACCATTCAGTCAGGTGCCAGAGATCGAGGAGAGCCCTCCATACTCCTTTCTCACTCACACTTCAATCTGTCAAGTCCCCTCTCTCTCTCTAAACATGCCCTGGATCTGATCTCTTCTTCCAAAAACAAGGTTGCCCCCTGCCCAGGCTCAGTCACCTTCCCCAGATACCTTGGCTGTCACCTCCTAATTGGTCTCTCTGCTCCGACTCTGCACCATCACCTTGCCTACCCCTGACACCCACCCTTTATTTTCTACACAGGAGCCAGAGACTTAAAAAAAACAACTTTAATCAGATCATGGGCGACTCCTGCTGAAACTGCCCAGTGACTCCTACCACACTGACTATAGTCCTCACTTCTGCAGGGGCTCCAGCTTCTACGATCCACCCCTGACCATCTCCCCAGCAAGGCTCGTTCCTCTGATTGTGTCCTAAGGGCACCGAAAGCAGGACCTGTGCACTTGCCTGGAACATTCTGCTCAGCCACTTGGGGCCTACTCTTTCTGGTCCTCACAGGCTCCCTGCCCCCTCTATTCCCTCCCCATCCCACTGCCTGTTTAGCTTGCTTGTCTCTGAAATGGTCTCATTCATTGGCTTTTTTTTTGAGACAGGGTTTTGCTATGTAGCCCAGGCTGGCCTGGAACTTGCAATACTCCTGCTTCAGTCTCCTGAGTGCTGGGATCACAGGCATGCCCACCAGGCCCAGCTTGCCTTTTAACTTGTCTCTCCCACTCAAAGCTAAGCTTCAAGGCAGCGGAAATCCTGCCCATCTTGTCCAAGGGCCTGGCATAGAGTAGGCACTCAGCGATCACTGTGGAATTAGTACACGAGTACACACAGGCACTTTTCTCCCAAGGCTTCTGCTCTCTCACAGTGTGCCCTAAGAACAAGCATGATTAGGCAGCCTATTGTCATCCCTCCACCCCCTGCCGCCATCTTGCTTTGGCCTCTGAGCCACTCTTGGCTTGTGGGATCTAAGACTCAGAGATGTCCACCCATCCTTATTCTCCACCCCTTAGCTGTCCTGCAAGCTAGGTGAGAAGCTCTGACTAAATTTCTGGATCGCTGTGTTTCAGAGGTTTGAGGAGCAATTTAGAATGAGAACCATCAAGCCTGCGACCCACCACAGGAACTCGGCTTCAATCATCCAATTGCAGGATGGCAGCCTACGATTTGCTGGCTGTCAGAAAGTTGATTCTCAAAGCCCTTTTACATGTTTATATGCATACGCTCTCTGTTTAGCGGAGGCACAGAGCGAGCGCATGCTGTGAATTAATCAGGAAATAGCTATTCGAGGACAGCACGGGCAGCTTTCAATGACTAGTTCTGCAAAATTACCACCATGGAAACATCTGGCAAGACAGATATGCTCACTTAAAGAGGTCGTGGGGTGTGGGGCCACCTTCCTCTCCAGTACAGTTGTGAGGTGGGCATCTTGCTTCCTAACAGGGTGTCTGGTCTCTAAAACATGTCTACTGCCCTTCCCTGACGAGTCCAGACCATCTTCCGTCCAGCTGTCTGCTGCCCAGGGCTCCCCATAAGTCTGGCTGTGAGGGGAGAGGGGCAGGATGCTAGGGCAAGTAAGGGAGGAGGAGGATTGGGGAAATCACAGGCAGTGTGGGGACATGGGGGAGGGAGGCTCCTCCCTGCCTGATGGCATTTAAATCTGAGATGTTCCCAGCAAACAAGCAGACTCTATGGGTGGACATGCTGCAAGTCATCAGAATGGGATATCTGGTAGGGAACAAGTATTTGTCACCTTTCTGGGTATTCCAAATTGAAAACTAAAAGACTGTACTGTCCTATGTGGTCCTTAGAACCCCGCAAGGTAGGTATTAGGCCCATCTTCCAGGAGACGAAATGCAGGCCCGTGCCTTTCTGATCACATAGCTCACTAGCAGGCCTAAGGTTGTAATGACCACTTGCCTTCAGGCCTAGCTAGTCCTCAGTCTTGGACCATGCTGGCCTGTCCATAGGCAGAATGACTGGCACCAGTGAAACTCTGAGCCCCAGTTTTTATATTAATTCCTATGGGCCATCTGTTTCCTACTCACACCCACTTCCCCTTCCCCCTCTATAGGTCACAACTACCAGCACTTGTGGTGGGTGCTGCACAGGCACACTCACCCTTCTAGACCGTTTTCTGTATGAGCGAGATTTATTCCAGGACCTCTGTGGATATCAACTTTCAGATGCGTAGATCCCTTATGTAAAAGGGCATGCATTTACACAGCATCTCGCATATTCTCCGTACCCTTTAAATCACCTCCAGAGGACTTATAACATCTGATCCAGTGTAAATGCTGTGCAGATAGCTGTTATACTACATTGTTCAGGGAATAATAAGAAAAAACATACTCAGTACAATTTTTTTTCTGAATATTTCCATCTCTAGTTGGTTGAGTCACTAGGTGGAAACAGGTACAGAAAGTCACTGCATTTATGTGGATGTCCACATAAACGTCATCACACCTCAAGGGCCCTGTGGAGTTGGATAAGGTCCAAGTCTGCAGCAGGGACAAACAGGAAGGATTTTGTAGGGTCACCTCCCTCTGTTCCCCTCAGTGAAGCTCTGATAAGGGACGTCTTTAGGGATGGACCTGAGGACCCTCTCATTCCTTCAGAATCAGGTACTTCCCTTTCCAGACACCAGAGTTTCAGTTGAGGTTCCTCCTTCCTTTGCCCTAGCTTCTGGGTGCACACCTGTGCACGTGCCCTTCTGTGTACCTGGGTGTGAGTATTTTCTTCCTTATTTAACTAGAGATACTCTTATGCCTTTTGTTGTATGCCTTGGGCCCCTTGGCAGTTTCAGAGTTTCAGATTTTCAGGACACCTTGAAGCCCTGTGGTCAATGCATGATTCACTAAGCCCACTTCCCTACCCCCATTTTGCCTTTATCCTCCTCCTTTACAGTTCCCGAGAACCAACAATGTTGAGATTGTAATGCATTTTCAATACAAAATATTACTTCAATCTTTGTAATTTAATGAATTCAGC